CTATTTTACTGCAATTATCTACTTGAAGTTTCTTTTGTTTTATCAAACAGTTTAAAGTGGAATATTTTCTGTGCTTGATTATACACTGTAATTACATGATAGGGCCTTGCTAATGTAAATTGGCAATTACAGATCACTTAAGTTTCCAAATTTATCGCTCAGGTTATGACCTATCTTAAAGTTCAACTGCTTGGTTAAATTAAAGCTGGGCACATATATCATTTTTGCAAAGAATTCATTCAAAGACATTTTAAAGCAAGTAAAGTAAGTAAGTACAGCACCTAGAATATCCTAGAACTTAGAAGTATATTGTTATTCACTTGATCTTTGATTTTATTCTGTGTTTCGGAGTTTTTGTTAAGTAGCAGGGTCCCCTGTGTTTTACTGACCAAATTAAGCCGCAAGTCTATGACTGCCTACCTCATTTTAACTTAATTAAAGAAGTATAGAACTGTATGACGTATGTCTCTCTTACTTTATCCGTTTACCACGTCTGACCGGTTGCCATTTTTCACTCTATGGTTATATACTTCTCTATACATAATTCTGACAGCAAATATAAAAGTGCCAAGTGGGTATCTATGTAATTTTCGTATCATTTTGAATTTAATGGTTACCTTCATACCCAAAGTTTAATGTTAAATCTCACTGTACCATATTCATTAACTTATAGCTTATAACATATTATATGTTTTGATTTTATGTCCCTATACTAGAAGGGTATTCTTCTAACAGTTTTTGACTGACTTGAATGTCCTGCACAGCAGTTTGAAGCTTCTTTAAATTATTTTTATTCTTATCGTATTGCTGTGTAAATTTAATTCTAATACTAATTCATTTCTAATTCTCACTTTAATTAATTCTCACTTCGTTACTTTTCATAATGAATGTTTTTGGCACATCAGAATGAGCAAATGAATCGGGAGAAATGCTTCCTCTGACTCTGTCAAGTAAGTACATTATTTCCAATGTATTTGTTGTTTTGATAATCTTTCTTCGCTCTTATGAGTGGGTCAATCCTTTGTTTTGATGATATTGTTGACGAAGTGAGAATCTCCACTCAGTGTTTTGAAAACACTGAGTTGAGATTCTCACCTTGTCTCAGAATAGATAAAGGGAACCATCAGAAAGTAATTTGTCTTCGATGGAATGAGAAAATTCGAAACAACTTCTGGCCGGGGTTGGAGACCTGGAACGGTTCAAGGGATCCACCAGAAACAAATCTGGCTTTGGCAGACTTTCTGAATATCTAAACACACACACTCATCTCCACTTCTGATATAACTCGGTTTCTGTTTGGAGTAAGGAGCTAATTTTGGGCATCAGGCTGTTGAGTTATTAGCCCAAGACATATTTTTACGCTCTCGCGAGAAGCAATTACAACAGCTAAAATCAAATTAACTCGGTTTCTGATTGGACTTTGGAGTATAAAAGAGCTAAATTTGGGCATAAAATCATCATATTAAGTAGAGCGTAATTAACTCCTCAGACTTCAGGTTAATCAGTTACTACTGTTATATGACCACACCCTTTTGAGCTCTCGTGAGTAACAATAACAGCACTTACAATCAAAATAACTCAGTTTCTGATTAGAGTAAGGAGCTAAACTTGGGCATTGAAGTGTTCTAAATTATCACATTGAGTAGGTAGAATGTTATTTAAAAATCTCAGACATCAGGTTATTGAGCTATAATAGCCCAAAAACTATTCTTACGCTCTTGCGAGTACCTTACAAGACATTTTTGTGGCGGACCAATTTGCGACGACCGAAATTTTGGCGGTCCGAAAATATGGCGAAATTGAACAAAAACCGTCACATTTCGGACGTCACAGAAAATAAGGGTATTTTTCATCATTTTGTTTTCTGACACAAAGGAAATTCAAAATTTTCTAAAAATCGGTAAAATCATGTTGAAACAAAATGAAACTTATAAATCGATTTCTTCATCTTCCTCTATACTTAAGGGGTCCGGCTCGACTCTTCCAGTTTCACGCTGTTCTCCAGTGTACTCCCAGGAGTAAGATTCTCGGATAAGCGTATTACTTGACATTAAATTCATCATGGAATATTGTGTTTATTTGTCCCACCATCATATCACTAACTTTTCAAGAACAAAATGAATCGATGAAGCCACAATTATTGGAATAAGCTAAAAATAATGCGACGGATTCTATTACGACGACCGAAATTTTGGCGGTCCGAAAATATGGCGAAATTGAACAAAAACCGTCACATTTCGGACGTCACAGAAAATAAGGGTATTTTTCATCATTTTGTTTTCTGACACAAAGGAAATTCAAAATTTTCTAAAAATCGGTAAAATCATGTTGAAACAAAATGAAACTTATAAATCGATTTCTTCATCTTCCTCTATACTTAAGGGGTCCGGCTCGACTCTTCCAGTTTCACGCTGTTCTCCAGTGTACTCCCAGGAGTAAGATTCTCGGATAAGCGTATTACTTGACATTAAATTCATCATGGAATATTGTGTTTATTTGTCCCACCATCATATCACTAACTTTTCAAGAACAAAATGAATCGATGAAGCCACAATTATTGGAATAAGCTAAAAATAATGCGACGGATTCTATTACGACGACCGAAATTTTGGCGGTCCGAAAATATGGCGAAATTTCGGGAAAACCGTCGCATTTCGTACGTTATAAAAATGTCTTGTAAGGTAGCAATTGACGCACTTCATACTAACTGTTCATCTTGGACATGAAATTGTTCAAAATTATCACATTAAGTGGGGTAGAGCATGGTTTTAAAGTCAACATGCTTTAGATTGTTGAGTTATTAGTCCATATCCTATTTTACGGATCATCACATTGAGTGTCGTAGAACATGGTATTAAAATCTTCAGACTTTATGCTGTTGCATTTAAGAAAATATATATATTGAAATGTGGTATTTATATCCCGACAACACAAGTAAGGTGGTTAACCATGTCAGAGCGGCTGACTGTGAGTGATGTGAGCAAATGTGTAAAAGTGAACAAAAGTATTATAACTCATCATAAGGCAAATAATGTTTTAGATAATTATATTAATATTATAAATCAAAGTCTTATGATATTGTTATTATCTTAACAGTTACTGTTGTAACTTACAATTTTAAATTTATATTCCTTGTATTCCTTGTATTCCTTGTATTCCAGTACGTAATATAGGGTGTTCAAGCTGGTATTTCAATATTTGCTCAAGTTTCACAGATATCATCAATTGAGTATTGTGACAAAGTAAACTTATTTGTGCGACTGTATGAGTATTAGTATGAGTATGAGTATTGCTGAAAGCACAGTGTAAGGCCTACACGGACCGCCTCTAACTATTATCATAATTCCCAGTACTTCCAGATCATCAAGTAATCCTACTGCACTACTCAGCATTCCTTGTCAGGGTGTCCTAAACATTCCTCATATATTTTCTTAAATGCAACAGTATAAAGTCTGAAGATTTTAAAACCAAAATTGAGCAAATATTGAAATACCATGGCTTAAACACCCTATATTACGTACTGGAATACAAGGAATACAAGGAATACGAGGAATATAAATTTAAAATCTTAAGTTACAACAGTTACTTTTAAGATGATAACAATATTATAAGGTTTTGATTTATAATATTAATATAATTTACTGAAAAGAAAAAGAAAGATTTTGAAAATAAATATTTAGTTTACAGTCCCCTGTTAATGCTTAATTAATTAACACTATAACAACCACGCACCAGTCACATAAATTATTATGTGGTTGTAATACGTTGACAGTGCCACAATTGAAACATCGCAATACTGAATACATGGTAAAAAATAGATTGATTATGTCACCAAAAATATTATAACTCTGTTTACTCCTTGCTGGAAGATAATTAGTTTGTCCAAATTTGTATGATGATAAAGTTAAATTGAATTCTAATAGAGGTATGGTGAACTACAAAATAGGGCATGCATTGTTAATTTCGTCACATAATTTGTTGTGAAAGTTTGTTAATTTTTCGTTCACATCCACATCCTTATTATTGTTGGAATTGATTAATACAAGAAATATAGTAGCCCATACCAGTTTTCTGCATTCAATTTATATTGTTGAGGCACAAAATGGTAATTCTGTCACATTTTTTGTGACTAAGCAAAATTTAAGGTAGCATTGTTAAACTTGAGGTTTGATGTGCTGGACAATAATCTACCACTTATTTTTAAAAGAATATTGAATTCTAATAGAGGTATAGTTCTTCAAAATAGGCACAAGAAAGGTTGACTTCGTCACATCATTTTTTTGACAATGTTAATATCAACTGTCCTCTCTTGGATCAATCTGACCAAACGTAAAACGAAGGCAATAGGTTTAAATCTCATATGAAATATTTTCAGGTACTGATTCTATAACGAAGTCTAATCGTCATCTTCTTACAGTGTTCGATGTCTGTGTGAAGGTAAAATGGTGACATCCTCTGGATCAGGCAGAGGTCGAGTGTTATCGGGATTACTACAGATTGATGATCCCGCTCATCGGAGAAGATAAAGGCCTTGCTCAGCAATGGGTAGGGTTTGCAGTTTAGATAGCCATGTGGCACGCTGCAACTTAATTATTCGAGATTCTTCTCGAATAATTTTCAAGACTTGATGTCAATTTATTATTGGAGAAAAAGAAGATTTATGAAGGTGAATAGATGCCAGGGTCGGATTGAGTTGACAAAGCTCAAGATGAAAAGGTAATTTAATACTCAGATCATAATGTTTTGTTGCATTTACCTAGAAGTTAATTGTTTTGGAAATATGCTGTGTAATAAAGTAGTTCTAAAAACATTGAATTAAAGTGGACGCCATCCTTTAGAGAAATTTAAATTTATTACCTTCCCAATCTCGCTTTAACTCTGTATTTTAATGTATTCTTGTGTAAAATTGTATTGATCCCGTTTGATGCGACAAGGTAAAATGCTCTTACCAGGAAAGGAATTTACTCAACGTTTCAATGTTACAACATCGTATTCATGATCTCAAATTATTTGTTATATAGTAGTGTTGAAAGTATTAAAACTGTATGTTAACAAGCATTTAGTTCTTGGAAAGAATTGGCTTATATCTCATAAACTAACAATGATTATTTCAATTCAATCAGGATAAGAAGATTAAGAAGCACAAGTTCAACTCCAATACTTGTTAGAACTGGAGAAAGAAGTACCACACCGTACTCAAAACCCAAACGAGATATCATTGATCTTATTGACGAGGAAGAAACGATGAAAGAACTGCAAGACTGCAAGAGCTCTTAGACAGCTCTCCCACAAAAAGTACAGCCAGCACAGACAGTTTTTGCAACCGAAACGATAACCATACATATCAATATCTTCAAAATCAGTATCTAGGACGTGTAAGGTTAGGTTTTATATTTATTCGCATTTTGAGATGTAACGGCCTTTTCCACATTCAATAAATCTGTCGGAAATCCGAATTTATCTTACTGCAATCACTTGCTAATATATATCAGTTATCTGCGCTTATCGGCAACGGGCCGTTATATTCTATTAATGCTTTTCAAACAAAGTTACAACGAATTCTTCATGTCGTGCATCCTGGGTTTGAACAGGATATGGCCGTTTAAAATATTTCCATCACGTTACATTACATAATTCTCAATAAATGTAATAGATGTTTAGTGTTGTAATTAGTTTAAAGTTTTAATCGGTCTCGCAGCTCTATTCTATATTTGCCTAACTCATTTAAGAGTGAGCAGACGACAGTATAAAAAACAGCAGACGACATGGCACCAATTTGGGGAGGACCAACTCCATTTCAACGGATCATACATCTTACATGTATCTTAAAAATCGTTTTTGATTTATTAGATTTGTTCCATTACATAAGCAAATAAACGGATAGTAATTGTACATCATGTTGCCAGTTATGATAATCCAGGATAACTGCACTGGATAAAGGGAATAAAGGTCACTTTTCCTTAACATTTTAAAAGCTTGCACATACCAAGGTAATTTATGTAGTTAAAGTGGAGACCTCCCGAACTACCGTAATTTTATGTACTGAACGGATTAAAAATCTTAAATACGTCCTTCGATGTCAAATTTCACAGGACAAAAAATGCCTACCCATTTTATTTGAATATTAATAAGTTATTTGAATATTAATAAGTCCGGCATTAACCTGAATTATTCTTAATATCATAACTCGCAAGGTCTTGTGAAAGGATTAGGGAACGTATTTTAACTTAAAAACTTTATTGCTGATATCTAACTGAGAAGGAAATCTGCTGTATTTTTGTTATAAATTTATTCGAATCATAGTATATAATATTATGAGTAATGGTTTTTAAAATATTTCTTATCTGATGATGTGATAAAATTGTTTATGAGAAAGAAACCAGTTTTGAGGCGTAAAAATGAAGAGGACTTAAAGACTGTACATTTTTCACCGTTGAATAAAACTTAAATATATGGAATGATTAAAAAAAGCAGCCGCAACCTTGCTATTCAGCAAGTCTTGTTGTATGAAACAAATATTATATTGACTGCTAGTAAAATAGACATTTCAACTTTTAAATTTTAAACTGTAAAAGCATCTCTCGATTCGATTCGATTTAGGGTCTGATTATATAGCTTCATATTCGATTTGAGCTTCATATATGACTGTTAATGACTGTACATATGTTTTAATTGAAATTAAGTTCAATCAAATGAAATCAAATGCGCCGTTTATTTTTGAAAACACAAAAATAGCAGAGAAATTCCCTCTTCCATTAGACATGTAACTTAAACTTCAGTTTGACTTCTGTGCTGCTGTTACTGCTAGGAAGGCATTCTTTTTATTTTACATACAAGCTATAAATAATTGCTTATTTTACGGATGTAGTATATCTAAGATTTTATCCAGTATGTATAATATACATGTACTGGATACAATGTTAGACCTTAACTTATGGCTCTGAACTTTTACTCACCGGCCTCACTATAGTTTAGCATGGTTTAAGTAGATAATTAAGCTAGTAGCTGAAAAAATAAGCATGAAACATATAGCTTAAAGTCCTTAAAGTCTGATAATAAAATTCTGGTCAAATACCGGACTTGGATATTAGAATTAGAATTAAATTTGGATATAAACTTATATTGCACCGAGTGCCCATTTCAGAAAATCACCGAGCACCAGCTCATGTATAATTTAGGCATTTAACCGTTATTAAACGCGCTCATGCCACAACGTTCCGAAAGATATCGCTCTGTCAGAATAAGAAATTACTGAAGGGCAGTCGTCACTCACCAAATCATGGTGCAAATAGTATTGGATCTCATAAGAGTTGCAAAATAACAAGAGAGCTTTTCGAATATGTTGCAAGAAAATCTGACCGAAAGGATCGTGGCCGTACTGCAAAAAGAAAAGGTTCGCCATTTTGTTGTTTGCTGAGAATAAGAACCATATGCTTTTTGGACGAATTAGCGCTGGCGCGCGCGCCAAATTTATTAGTTGTATGTAAAAAGTTGATGCGTTAACACTTAAATCTGAACGTGAACTCTTCGTAGCGCGGATCACTGGAATTTTCATTTTGAAATAACTCGCATACCAATGCAGGAATTCATAATATGAAGGTGTAGGACTCATAACATATTGATGAGATAAATATTGGTATCAAAATTTTACCAAAAAACTCATCGGATGATGGTAAGAAAACGTTTTTACACATTGACAGTCAAAAACAAAAAAAATAATATCAGTGTCAAATTAAGCGAGTGAAAATTGCTACCCGGTGGTTTTCGATGCTTCCGTATCCCCCGCACACTTTAAAAAGCATACAAACGATATTCGGACAAAAAAATTCTGTGCTCGCGCTTGGCGCTTATTACACTGACTAATAGGCTAGTGTAAACATATATAATCATTAATACAAACAAATGGTATTAGTAACTCGCTAGATTATAGATGTTATTTAAACACATATGTTTACGTCAATTATTACTAAAATTAATATTCTTTTTGCTTTAATATAATTACATGTCACATAATGGATTAGTTGAATGAAACGTGTGCTACATGACAAATGTCTACGCCTCACGCAAAACTGCGTACCGCTTAGTACTTCATGCTTGAGCGGTACTGCGGTTGACAGTGGCGCGCACTCAATTTAATCACAAATAACGAGCGCGCGGTTTTTTGGAATCTCTCCATTATTATATTAATTAGGTCGCAGTGTTCACGGCCTGTACTGCGTGAACGACAGAAATATCTTTTAAATTATTTTGCTTCTGAAATTTTGGCTCTAGAAATTAAGAAATGTGACATGTAATTGTAAGATATGTATTGACATGTATTGTAAGATAACAATTAAATAGATCATGTGCGCGGCGCCTACAGCTGACCTACGAATTTCTGAACAATTTTAAATTGTGGCTGTGTGCGCGGCGTACTGTATATTATGTGTTTGAAATTGAAATTTGAATTTATTTATGAATATAACATTATGTATTGATTGTTTTGTGGTAAATAAAAATTTTTCTTTCAAAAAAATTTTCTTTCAAAAGTGGCCAATAGTGCTTCGTGCTACAAGTCCCGCGCCCGCGCCAAATTGCTATGCAATCCGTTGTGCGTCAACAATGTTTTAATAATCTAAAAATGAAAAAGGTGAAGCAAACATGATCAAATTATTCAATTTACAATTGAATTAGAAAGTTAAATTTTGGCTGAGCGCCGCCCAGTAATTACTCCCACAAGTGACAGATCAAGAACAGTTGTTTTGTGTTTTGAAAAAGAACAACAGCTTCTTCTGTCAAAATCGAAACCAAAGTTTAATATAAATATAATTTTGTACACCACACCAATTTAAGTACTTAAAACAGTGATTTCTCTGCGTAGCGGGGAGACAGAGGTGCGAGAAGGAACTTTGTTAATATAAATACTTTAGATATTAACTTGGAGCCACAAGGCCAAGAAAAGGGTGATTTTTATATGGTTTTCCAATATTTGAGATAAGGGATATATTACGTTGGGTTTTTTGAATATAATACATGGTTTTTTTGCTTGAGCTGTAAAATCCTCTGGTGTTGAGACTACTCCATCAGATCCCAAATTTGGGTCCACTACTGTTAAGGAGACTCGTATCCAGTAGGGGCTGACAGCGGTAAGCTTCAGTGTCTGCTGGTAACCGACTCGGCAACAGTAGTGGTTCCCATTTTTTGGGTTGGAATGCCTGACACAAGAAAAATGGACACTAGGTCCAAAGTAGGAAAGCAAACTGGAAAGAAAGCTGATATCTGTGGATTTTGTTCAAAGGAGGTAATATGTGATTGTATTCAATGTGAAGGAAAATGTGGACGATGGTTCCATGCGGCATGTAGTGGACTGTCGGAGTTGCAGTTTAAAGACCTAGCAGAAAATGAGGATTCTGAGTGGTCATGTCAAAGATGTGGCAAGGAGGAGAAGAGCAGCGAAGACGAAGACGAAAACCCCATAACTGAAGCTATCCGAAAGTTGGGGAGACAGGTCGAAGAAAGTGTACAACCATCTACTCCAATATCAAAGGACCCTCATATTGTGGAAGAAGAGGGAAAGGAGTGCTGTTTCCCAGGTTATGAAAATGTAAGGGATCCATCTCAATTGAAATTAGGATCATGGAATAGTTGGGAAGTTCTAACACAATGTGAGGGAATATATGGTGTTGTAGTCAAATGGAGAATAAACATATTTCTGCTTCCCTCAGGGGCTGCAGGAAAAGCATTCATCGAGGAAATGACTTAAGTGGCCAACAATTTTTCAGCAGGCAGTACTATGGAATCAGTGACCATGACCCTTTTGATGATAATGCCATCACTACTGTTGCAGAAACCCTCAAAGAGATCCAAAGCAAAGGAACACACTGAAGTGTTGAAGAGAAGGCTTGTTTTGTGGCAGGCAGGTAAGTTAGAAGAGTTGCTGCGAGAAGGACAGGAGATTCAGAGAAGAATGGGAAAAGGGAAACATGAACATGGCCATGTTGAGAGAGTCTTCACTCGACTTATGATGAAAGGTAAAGTCAGTGCAGCAATGAGGTGGATTGGCGAAAATGCCACCGGGATTCTTGAACCCACTCCAGATGTGATAAAAGTACTGAAAGAGAAGCATCCCAAGGCATCACCTGCATCAAAGGGAAGCTGTCTGAGTGGACCAGTGAGGAGAGTAGAGCCGGTTATCTTTGACAGTATTGACGGGGAATCGATAAGACAAGCAGCAAAGAGAGTACAGGGTGCTGCAGGGCCTTCAGGAATGGATGCGGATGCGTGGAAGAGACTACTGTGTTCTAAACAGTTTGGTAAGAAGTGTGAGGATCTATGCAATGCTATAGCAGGGATAGCAAGGAAACTATGTGTCAGGAATCTGGATCCAACGATGTTGACCTCATTGACAGCATGTCGACTTGTTCCCCTGGATAAAAGCCTGGCGTCAGGCCTGTTGGCATTGGTGAAGTCTTACGAAGGATAATAGGGAAGACAGTGATGACCCTCCTACAGAAGGATCTGGTTGGTGCCACTGCTCCTATTCAAGTGTGTGCTGGTCTTCAGGGAGGAGTGGAAGCAGCTGTTCATGCTGCGAGGGACTGCTTTGAAGATCCTGAAACTGAAGCCATCATCTTAGTGGATGCAGAGAATGCATTCAACTTGCTGAACCGAGAGGCAGCTCTTAACAACATGTATATTGTATGTCCAGAAGTTGCTACCTACATTATGAACACCTACAGAATGCCTGCTAGACTGTTTATTGCAGGAGAAGATGAACATCTTTTTAGTGAAGAAGGGACAACACAAGGTGATCCACCTGCTATGGGATTTTATGCATGTGGTACAATACCATTGATTGATGCAGGGAACATTGAGAGAAAAGTGACTCAGATCTGGTATGCTGATGACTCTGCTGCTGGGGGAAAACTGGAAGAAATGAGGAAATGGTGGATAACCTCTGCATTAAAGGACCACTTTTTGGTTACAACCCTAAATCTTCCAAGACATGGGTGATAGTCAAGCCTGAGCACGAAGAGAAGGCAAGAAACTTGTTCCCAGATGTCAATGTGACAAGTATTGGTCGACGATATCTGGGCAGCTTTATCGGAACTGATGAAGGAAAAGGGGCTTTCATCGAGGAAAAAGTTCAAGAATGGTGTCGTGATCTTAAACAATTAAGTGATATAGCATCACCCGGGGCTGTGTGTGTACTTGGAAAAGGGTTGGGCTTTGTACCTACACCCTCTCTTGATGTTGAAGGAACAAGATTGGACATGCGTTTAACAACGAACAGGATCCTTCAGTCTTCAAATCAGTCACTTAACAGCAATGACCAGTTTGAAACCCCGAACCTGCCCCAAATACCACCAAAACTCTATCAAAAATCATACTATTCATCACAGTCATCAGATGACAGTAGTGTTAATGATATTGTGAAGAGTATGGAGGCGGACCTTGACCAGAGATTGACCATTCAGAAAACTACAAGAGGCGACACAAAGAAGAACTTGTCAAAGGAAGAGACTGAGGGCCTAAAATGGCTTGAGTGCATGAACAATGAGGGAAAACTATCCGTTGTTCAAGCTGATAAAGGAGGTGCAGTGATCATTATCAACCCAGAGACACTAAGGAAGAAGACACTTGAGAAGCTCCAAAACCCGAATATCTATACTGAACTGAAGGAAGATCTCACCCAAACATTACACCATGAGTTATTCCTCAAATGGGTTGAAGGTAAAGAGAAAGGTTTTATCCATCCGATGACTGCAAAAAGTGTCATGGGTGTTTCTGATAATGATAGCACAAAAGAGGGGAAAGATAAGACCAATGCAAAGAGCACTTCTTCATATTTCAAGCCAGGAAAAGCCTACTTTTACCCGAGTTTGAAGATCCACAAATTGAAGAGAAAAGACCTTGTGCCAGGCATAGAGCCCCCTGTGAGACTAGTCACTGCACTACAGGAAGGAATAGCAAAAAGGAGTGATGTCTTCTTGGCCAGTGAGTACTTCAAAAATCTTGAAAAGGACTATTGCGAAGACTTACTGACTGACTCAACGGAGGCACTGAGATGGCTTGAAGTATGCAATGAAGTTGAAACAGACAAACGAGCCCTCCGAGCTTTCACTTTCGACTTCAAAGCTCTCTACGACTCATTAAACCCTGAACTTGTCAAGGAAGCCGTTCATCATGCAATGAATACCACCAGACCAGACTGGACACCAGCACTCTGTGATTGGCTGGTCGACCTCGTTGATATCAGTCTAAGATCCTCTATTGGATGCTTCGAAGACAAGTGGTACGTCCAAAAGAACGGAGTGCCTACAGGTGGAAGTCTGTGTGTGCAGTTGGCCAACATAACTGTATTTTATGTAATGAACAAATGCGTTTACAGTAACACTGACATGATGAAGAGAGTCAGGACTGTAAGACGGTACATTGACGATGGTGCAGGTTTCTTCTACAGCACTGAAAGGAAATTTGACCAGTGGATTTCCGATGTAAACAAATCCTTGAAAGAATATGGGCTACTCATTGACGAATCCCAATGGAAGGAAGTTGGCACGCCTGTGGCTTTTCTAGATATCGAGTTTTGTTTCGACCCTGAGGGAAACTTACAAACTGACCTCCATATCAAGGAAACAGATTCAAGGAGCTATCTACATTTTAGCAGTGCACATCCAAACCACATCTATAGTGGAATAGTTTACAGCCAGTGTATCAGACTCAGGAGAATAATCAACTCACAAGAACGACTGGAAACCAGATTGAGTGAATTAAGCCAAGCATTCAAGGCAGCTGCTTATCCCTCAAAAATGGTGAACAACATTAGCAAAAAAGTTCTCAACTCAGAAAGAAACCTTGAACGAAGACCTCCCAAGGACAACACACTGAAGCCAGAGATCCTACCAATAAGGGTTGTCTCAACCTACGGAAGTGACTCTGACATTGTCACCACAGTGAAAAAGTATGAGGAGAACTTAAAGAAGACCAGAAGTTTTTGTAACCTGAGTGACTCAAAACAACAGAGTAACACCCTTGAAGAAAAGAAGAATGGCAAAAAGTTCTTCCAATTTGTCAAGAAAACAGGAAGCAACCTCAAAAGCCGGTTGGTTAAGGTGAAAGAAATAGCTCTGGGGAATAAGCATGGTCAAACAAGGCCGTGTAGAAAGAAGAACTGTGCAACGTGTGAGTCTATTGATAGTGCTACACAAATCAGCATCAATGGGAAACGGGTAAAACCAGCACCAGGTACATGCATCACTTACAACATCATATATTTGATCAGATGTAAACTGTGTGAGAAACCATACGTAGGCAAATCCACCAGAATGCTACGGGTAAGGTTTGGCGAACACAGAAGAGCATTCTACAAGATCATCAGTGGGCAAAAGGTTGACACGGATGATGACTCAAACTGCGTAGGACTCCACCTCCATATAGAGCATGGACTGACTCAGAAGGAAAATTTTAACAATAGTGTTTCAGTGTGTATCCTAGAAAATTCAAGTCCTAGTAGTTTAGATGTTAAGGAGCACCGATATATACATGCCTTAAATTCCCTCCGCCCCTCAGGAATGAATAGTACAAACCCTTTTAAGATTCCTTTATTGCATAATTGATTTTTATTTTGCCTGAGGGGCTTTCCATAAATTATTTTTTTAAATAATTGGTCCTTTTATTGATGTTTCATATTTCACGGCAGTTTCCTTTTCAGAGTTTGAGTTTATATTTAGAAACTAACCATACTATCTTTTAGATTTATGTCACTTATGATGGCTCCGGCTGAAAGTACTATGACTCATTTTATCTAGAAGATTGTAGTTTCATTGCTTCTGAAGTAGCTATCAGTTCGCCGGTCAATGTTGGGTATAATACTCTTGTGATATAGCATCAAGAGAACCTCAAATAGCATACAGTGCATACATGTATGGGCTTAGTAAAAGATGGAACTATGTGTGCAGAACTACCCCAGGAGTTGCAGATAGGCTCACTCCTCTGGAACAAGTAACACGCGATGAGTTTATCCCAGCTATCATCAACAGGCTGTTTAGCTGCACTGATGAACTAAGGAACATAATGGCTCTACCACCAAGATATGGAGGATTGGGTATACCAGTTATGATGGACATGGCAGACCGAGAGTACAAATTCTCATGTAGAGCCACAAAACCCCTTAAAGAAGCTATTCTCAAGCAGGTAGACAACTACACAGAGGACTGGAGAGTAAGCAAAGGAGTGAAAACTGAGATAACAACTGAAAGAAATCTCTTCTATCGACAAAAACAAGCGGAAATACGCCAGGAGCTCGAGTCAACACCACTGGCAAAGTTGATGTTCCAACTAGCTGCTGAGAAAGGGGCAAGTGCTTGGTTAACAGCACTACCTTTAAAAGAGTACGGATATCTGATGAACAAACAACAGTTCTCAGACGCATTAGCTCTCAGGTACAACCTGAACTTAAAGGACAGCCCTAAGACATGTACGTGTGGCCAAAAGTTCTCAGCAAACCATGCGCTTATCTGCAAACTCGGTGGATATGTGTCACTGCGGAACAACTCGCTGAGAGACACCTTTGCTGAACTAATGAGAACTGTGAAATGCAAGGATGTGCAGACTGAGCCAGTTCTTCTTCCAGTTGATGGTCTGAAGTTGCCTAAGGGAACAGTACTTGGAGACCAAGCTAGGCTGGACATTTCTGCAAGATCGATTTGGAATGCTTCAGAGAGGGCATATTTTGATGTAAGGGTATTTCATGCCCCAGCCCCCTCCAATGCAAGCAAATCGATCCCAGCAATGTACCAGTCCCATGAAAATGAGAAAAAGCGATGTTACAACGCAAGGGTTCTTGAAGTGGAGAAAGGAAGCTTCACACCTTTAGTGTTCTCGACTTCTGGTGGAATGGGTAGTGAAGCTGAAAGACTGGTAAAAAAGCTGGCCAGTAAGATGGAGTACCACACTGGCCAGAGGTACTCGGATGCTGTAGGTTACATCAGAAAGCGCCTTCTCTTTGAAATCCTAAGAACAACAGTGATTTCTCTCCGTGGAGACAGAGGTGCGAGAAAAACATTGTTAATATAAACAGTCTAGATCTTAACTTGGAGCCACAAGGCCAAGGGTAATTTTTGAGTGCTTAGGGAATTTTGTATATTCTTAAAGGTTTGATTTTATATAGGGTCATTGCTATATTAAGTGTATATTGTTTGAATAATTTTTTATTTAAAAAATATATTGAGTTTTTGAGGATGTCTATCCTTATAGTAGCTAGGCAATTACCATTGCTGAAATTATCTGTATACTGTTCGAAACATTTTCAAACAATTTAAGTTAAAATTGAATATTGAAACTCAGGGTTGAAAAGTAGTAGTGCAGTAAAAATAGCAGAATTAAATATAAATTTGGAGCCAGTTCTTTAAACTGGCTTACTTATACTACTAAAAGGGTGTTTATAATTTTTATTTAGTTTTCTATTGAATTTATATTGAATTTTTATATAGGGTAATTGTTATATTATGTGTATATTGTTTGAATAATTTTTGTATTGAAACTCAGTCGTTACAAGTTTGGTTTGAAACATAAAGGTTGACAGTTGAGAGTAAAACTTCCACAAACTTGTTGTTGACTGTATTTCTATCAATTTGGACACTGCCGCTCAGCTCAGGTAGCACGAATAAAATTCCTCTGATTGATGACAAAATATGACACTTTCGATCCTCCCTTAAACCAGTGGCGTAACGTTGCCTGTTGGCGCCCCCCTGCCGAAAAAAGCGCCCCCCTGTTGGCGCCCCTCCCCTTTTGGTGCCCCTCCCTAAAATTGAACCAATTAGGTGATTTTAGAGAATACGCCGGTAAAATCTCTAAAAACGTGTGTATCTAGAGCAAAACGCGCAGTTTTGCTAGTACTTTAGTTAAGTTTTCGAAATTGTCCCACATTCAAACGACGATTTGGCGCCCCCCTAAGACGGCGCCCCCCTCCACAGCGGGGTCAGCAGGGCCTTTCGTTACGCCACTGCCTTAAACAGTCCCTTCTGTAAAATCAATCCATTGAAAGACCCGACAGATCCAGTGGCGTAACGAAAGGCCCTGCTGACCCCGCTGAGCAGGGGGGCGCCGTCTTAGGGGGGCGCCAAATCGTCGTTTGAATGTGGGACAATTTCGAAAACTTAACTAAAGTACTAGCAAAACTGCGCGTTTTGCTCTAGATACACACTTTTTTAAAGATTTTACCGGCGTATTCTCTAAAATCACCTAATTTGTTCAATTTTAGGGAGGGGCACCAAAAGGGGAGGGGCGCCAACAGGGGGCGCTTTTTTCGGCAGGGGGGCGCCAACAGGCAACGTTACGCCACTGGACAGATCATTGGTATTCTTGCTGTTCCGATTTCGGCAGCTCATCCCATGTGTTCATGGGTATCCATAATCTGTCCCACTAAATTACCCTCCAAGGATTTGGTGCGCCGTCTAAGGGGGCGCAATTTTCCTGAATTTTAGGCCCTTTCACTAAAAAAACGCCTTGTTTGTGTATTTCCCTGTCCAATTTAGCGTTCGGCCGACGCGAATAAAATATTTGGGGTACCTTTTTTGCTTCACGGGGCGCAAAAAGCTGTAGGGGGGCGAGAAAAAAAGTACCCAACTTTTTTTTTTTTTTTTTTTTTTTTTAGAGGGACACAAAAAATTTTAGGGGGGCGCTTTTCGTCACTGAGCGGGGGGCGCCAACAAGCAAAGTTTCGCCACTGAAGTGAATTAGTAAACGCCATTCATAATCCATGTGCTTATTACAGTAAAACCCAGATTTACCGAGTTTGAGGAAAGGAAAAAACTGCAGTAAATCGGGGTTAGGGTGAATCGTGGTTTTTTGTGTACATCATGTATGTTAAGCCTCATTTAGGGAAAAGAAATGCCTGTGGAAAATCGGGGTTTGCGGTATATCGTAGCGCTAAATCGGGGTATGTCTTTTGGTATCACCCAAAGACTTAACTCTGTGTCGAAAACTCCATTAAAATTCCTTCAAAAGGCGCTTAATGAATATCCAATCAGCTCGAAAAATATTTGGGGGTACAAGAAGCCCCAGCGTTTTTTTGACACCCCATATAATATTTTTTGATAAGACATGTTTTTTGCGTTGTTGAATAAGATTTACTGGAATGCCAAGTTGCTCATTTATTTGTTTGATATTAAAGATTTGAAAGTATCCTTTAACAGACCCATTATCAGATCCAAAGAAAGATTTTATGATTGATTTTTTTTAAGCAACCGGCTCTTTTATCAAACAAATTTGTGTTGCATTGCTGGGTTGTGGGAATTTTGTTATAATCAAATTGTTAGTTTATTGTTGATCAAATTAGATAGCACATCAACTAGCATCACAATTTCTAGTCATTGGTTTGTTTTGAATATGATTGAATTTACCATAATCTTTAGATAAGTTTTTAACACACTATTCACGTAGGTCAGTGGAAGTTATATGCTGTATTGGCTGACAGTTTTTTTAATAGCTTTATGTGATTATGCAGACTCCCGAACTCTAAGGTAATGATGATTTTGTTAACACATGTAACAGAACCTTAATATATGCTTTGTAATCAGGCAAATAATGTTTCAAAGTACTACTAAAACATCGGATAGTGGCCGAATATGACCGCACTTTTTTGGTTATGAAGATATTATTATTTTTCAGTGGTGTCATAGAGCCATTGCAGTATGACTTCTATGTATTCTCCTTCAATTCTCCGCTGACCTTCGAGCTCTCCACTCACGCTGGAGATGCTGACTTGTATGTTACTCAAGGTTCTTCTAATCCTACATACTATGAGTAAGTAATTGTTTTGCTTTCCTTAACATTCACCTTTCGATCCAATTTGTTGTGTTTTAAATATGATTAAGTAATCATAATTAAAGTAATCATGAAATTCTATCAATTATATTTTAGCTAGACTATTTGCTGTTGGTTACATCTTCAACTGCACTGGCTATAGACCTGAAAACTATTAGCTAAGGATATATGGCCGAAACTATCTTAAATCTGCTGTTCCAGTTACGACATGATAAGTGCAACAACCGGTCTCGAAGTTATCCAAATACCAGAGACTTTCTCTTCTCCTGTTAGGGTTGGGGTCTTTGCTTCAGCACAATACTACAACACTTCATACATTCTTCAAGTCACATCAGGTTAGCATTCAGTTTTAATAGATACATTGAATACAATACTTCGAGTTTTAAATGGTATAGTTAGAGAGAGAGGGAGAGAGAGAGAGAGTTAGAGAGAGAGGGAGAGAGAGAACAATTATTTTTATTGGTGAATTGTATTGAGCACATGCTGAACTAAAATCAAAATGTTGATGATTTTTTTTCCTTCTTCAAAGTTCAGTGGCTTTTTATATGTAACTCAACAGCCACCATTTTTATTTTAACTCCGTATTTGATTTCAGATGAGCCCTTGATGGGCATTAAAAGACATCACAAAGATAAAGATGCATCTTGGACTTGGGGTGATGTTTTTTGGTTTATTTTAGAGATAATATTTGAACTCTTGGTTTAGAAAGTTCAGAAGTACATACACAGGTATGCATTAACACGAATTAATCATGGACTGTGGTCTATAGTCCTTTTTACCCAAAGATATCAGATTTTGCAGTTTTTGAACCACTCCATAAATTATTTCGAGATTCAATATTAATTCAATTGGGCACATTACTATTACTGTAATTTTTTTGCAAGAGGCTATTCACGTTTGGAACACTTTATTTTATAAATTTAACACTCATTTATTCTATCTTAGTGGAGATCAATAAGTTGCCAGTTCATTAGGGAATACAGTAAAACTTGCAATTTGATACGACTTTTAAAATTATCAAAACGTTAAGTACAAAGTTAAAAGCTTGTTGATGCGATTCAGCAAAGTTCTGATCACCTTCAATAAAGTTCTAAAATGATGTTTTTAAATCTAGGGTTGTTCAGCTTGGAATGAGCTAATGTAGGCCATTAATCAAGTGGGTATTAAAACAGCTAACATAATAGTTTTCTTAAAAATCTTTGAATTAAATGCTTCCTCTACTCTCTCACAAACTTCCTCTAATGTAAATCAGTGAGCACTCTCCTAATTTATTTTGGTATGTTAATTGGCTGATGAGCAGGTGATTCTCGTAAATTTGATTTTTAATGAGTTTTAACAGCTGGAATGTATTTTAATGGTTTACAGCCCACACAGTTTGCTTAATCTCTGGAATATACTTTTCTTAAGAAGATGTTATAATTATATTTTCATAGTGCGTTTCAAATGTCTGTTTCAATTAATATACGTAATACCCTGAGAAAAGCTCGTTTGCTTGAATAAATTTCTTACCTAGAATTCGTTGGTTCTGGTCTTATAGTTTGCATGGTTATGCATATTATGCATAGCGTACATATCGTGCATATTATGTATAGTATGCATAGTAAGCATGGTTACTGACGACACTAATGTTCTAAATGGATGGTTTTACGCTTTTTTATAATATTAATTGGTAATTTGGTATATTATGCGTGTCTTTTTATCTAGTCACTTTGATATTTTATTGCTTTTGAAAATAATAAAATAATAATGCACTGAGTGCAAGTGAGTAAGTGCTGCGATCTACATGGATGATTCATGATAATTATTTGTTAGTGTAATCATTGTCAATGATAGTTTTTAATAAGTTTTTTTTGTATTTGGAGACCAATTCCAACGTGTTTTCAATTCCAATTTCCAATTCTGTTTCTGAAAAACTTCAACAAAACAAAGTCTAGTTTTATCTAGATATTATTATGCAACTTACGAATTTCCTTACTTTTGAGATAAATAACAATAACATGTTAATCTACCCTATTCCCCACATTACTAACAAACCACACTATCCAGTGAAATGTCCAGTCAGTGATATGAAAGCAACTAGAAAACGGTCCAGACATGCCCAGCCATCCAGCGAAGAGCCTCTAACCCCAGAGACACCAACCAAAAGAAAATCAAAGCTGCCCGAAGACATCCTGAAAATGCCCTGCACCAGAGATGTGAGTATAGTTGGGAAGAGAAAGAGGTTCTCGTCACAGTCCGACATGATCTCAAACGAGGTGATGAAGTGGGTGGAGGGGTTCAAACACTTTACAGATTCAGATAAACTGGGAGCCCTGGACTTGCTTAGTGATATGTGTGATACCGGCCAGGCTAGGTATATTCTCAAAAAAATCGAACCAAGATTTCAGAGGGATTTTATAACGTTACTGCCTAAAGAGCTGGCAATGTCGATCCTCCGGTATTTGGAACCAAAAGATCTGTTGAATGCTATGAGAACGTGCAAATCCTGGAAGGTCCTGTGCGATGACTCTTTGCTTTGGAAAGATAAATGTAGGTTGTTACCCGAAATTCCTAATCACTATTACGATGACGATAGTGATAATTTGGATTGGAAGAAGATATTCTTGACGAGACAAGAGCTTGATGACAACTGGAAGACGGGTCGTAATTTTGTAAAGAAGGAGCTGAAAGGACACGACGATCACGTGATAACATGTCTGCAGTTCCACGGAGATCGCATTATCAGTGGATCGGATGACAGTACTCTGAAAGTGTGGTCCGTTAGTTCGGGTGAGTGTCTCCTCACTCTGACTGGACACACTGGCGGAGTCTGGTGTTCTCAGTTTGAGGGTGATATTATCTGTAGCGGGTCCACTGATCGTACCATCAAAGTCTGGGATGTTCACACCGGACAAAGTCTCCACACCCTTTTTGGACACTCCTCCACCGTGAGATGTCTCTCCATGTACAACCAGATATGTGTCTCCGGCTCACGAGACGCTACTCTCAGAGTATGGGATGTACAAACAGGTGAGTGTAAACATCTCCTGATAGGACACATGGCCGCGGTACGGTGCGTGCAGTACGACGGAGTACGTGTTGTGAGCGGCGCGTACGACTGTCTGGTCAAGGTGTGGGACCCAGTCTCGGAGACTTGTCTCCACTCTCTAACAGGTCATAATAACAGAGTGTACTCTCTACAGTTTGATGGGAGACACATTGTTAGTGGTAGTCTGGATACCACTATCAGGGTATGGGACGCAGTCACAGGGACGTGTCTCCATGTACTCAGTGGACACAGATCCCTGACAAGCGGGATGGAACTCCGGGATAACATCCTGGTGTCAGGTAACGCTGACTCACTTGTTAAGATCTGGGATATCACGACTGGAGCTTGTTTACAGACACTGGACGGACCTTCTAAACACCAGAGTGCTGTCACGTGCCTGCTCTTCAACAGTAAATATGTCATGACGTCCAGTGATGACGGGACTGTGAAACTGTGGGATATCAAGACAGGAGAGTTTATCAGGGACATTGTAAAGTTAGACTCTGGAGGGAGTGGAGGGGTGGTCTGGAGGATCCAACTGGATAAAACCAGGTTGGTTTGTGCTGTGGGCAGTCGGAACGGCACTGAGGAAACTAAACTGATTGTATTTGATTTTAGTGTTGGGAACGAGAAGACAAAACAGGTCGCTTCCTGTTCCGCTAATTCTAACGAAATTATGTACTGATATTTGCAGAACATTTGATTGATATCCGCTTATAGACGTGCTGTTTTAGAAAAGGGAAGAGTACTTTTTGTAGAGCTACAATCTGTACAAATAAATGGAGCTGAACTGCCTCTCGTTTTCTGTGTGTGTACGTGTCAACTTTTTTATCAAGGGTCAAGGGATCTGTTTATATAACCAATTTATTTAAGTTGGGGGTTATTTGGGCCGTCTTTTACAATTAATTAATATGGTAACTGAATTATCATAATGTTATTAATTATGATTTAAATAAGGGGTACACCGAAATACGTCATCACACCACACTGGATTATTTTCAATGGTTACGTGAATTTGTTCAGATGTTAATAACATCGTGTTTAGCTAATTTTACTCAGAGACCTTTTGAATTGCCCATGATGATTTTCTTATATGTATGTTAGCACACAAATTTATATAGGCTAGGTTTATAATCGGTCGATTTAACTGATCGAAATTTTAATAACGAATTTCTTAATATATCGATGTGACGTATTAGGTTATCACATCTTGTGACGTGTAAATATAACAGTGTTTTAGTGTTCAAGGATCACACGTGATATTTTATACTGTTTTGACTATTACAGAATCCCATTATAAACGTGCGATGTATACATATTATAACTATGTTTGATATTTTCAGACGTATTTTTCTCGAATTTATTTTCTGTTTCATACACCAAACAACAACTTCTTTTTTGTGGTTTATTGCAGGTTTGTAAGACATACTTTTCTGGGCTGAACCTTAAAATATTGTAACAACTTTGATTTTAATATGGTGAAGAGAATAGTTAAAATTCCTTGAATTGCTCACATATTTAAAGTAACATTATTATTGTCGTTTCCGGTTATATTGGTTGGTTTTACTGCTTTACTTCAAGAATCAAGTCTAAGTTTAAATAAAGTTCGCAAATTATCACTTAACGGCTTACGCCTTAAGAAAATAAATTATCTGCTAATATTTGAATTAGACTTCGGCTGATGAAATGATAGCTTAGTACGATAAAAAATCAAACAGCTCAGGAGTCATCCCATATCACCTGACTAAATATCCCATGATTGGGCAGTCATATCACGTGCCTAAACTTAAGGGCAATGTACATCTTCTTAATAGCTGATATCCTGTACCAATTCTCTCTGTTTGCTGGTACATGTGATTTCTAACTGTCACATGTATACTAATAAATAATAATTGTATCTGTGATTATCTGAATTTTAATCGTACATTATAATTGCCCTCTATATTATATATTTAAAGGCTGTATCTGATTAATGTTTTGTTTCTAGCTAGCAGTGAAAATGGAGTCCAACAAAACTTGTTGGTCAAATTCACCCAGCCCTTACCTCACCACACCATCAACTACAAACGAGGTTAATTCTTGTTAAACCAGTTTTAGAGAAAACACCGAATTACTTATACTCAATGATGTAACATGATTACTTAACAGAGAACACCAGACCCACTCTCGTACACCTCATTAAAGTGGGTTCTACCAGAGTAACGACTAGATAATAATATATCATTATTGGAATCTTTGTTTATTGTTTGATACAATATTGACACGTGCCGCTCCATTATATGCAGACTCTTTGTGCGCTAATAACACAGACGCGCCCAAAAGTACAAACTTAGAAACTTACATCATTACATCAGGTTAAGTTTAGTTGTATCAAGGAAAATAGAGAGGTAATATAACTTAAAGTTTGACCCTCAATTAACATGCCCCTTACTCCTCACAGGGGGCCTCTCCTTACATCTTACTGTTTACCCACTTTTTTTTTTTTTTTTTTTTTTTTTTTTTTTTTTTTTTTTTTTTTTTTAATGAGGAACCTGCCAAACCCCAGGACACCAGGAGGATACCACCGGCAAAGCGGCTAATAGTACCCTCCGGTCTGTGTTGTACCGAAGAAGCTGAGTTAATCGATCAAGACTCGGCTTACCAGCCAAGAGGCAAAATCTGAGCGGCACCAAGGCACTGTTTACCCACTTTACATGTAGTCCAGACTGTAATGTAGTATAATCTGATTCTAGGCCCCACCATGTTTCACATGACGTATTACATGCTCAGACAATATCACAGTTCACATTGCAGGACGATGACGACATGAACTGCCGAGTGGACGTTGATATCGACGCGCTCCTTCATCAAATTCTTCTTTACACGCTCAGAATATCCAACACGCTTTCACTGATCACGTGATTTTTGGAAACATGAGACCATGTGATCATCCTCACGCTATAGAGCACTGTGCTCACACAGTCACACATACTACAGTAGTGTTATTGTCTCTTTATTGGCTAATCGTATTGATTTCTAGATTATCTTGATTGGTGGTTAAGTTTACTTGTTCTATCTTTTCAAATGATAATTCAGTTTAGAATCACTGCACAGGCTATAACATGAATGTATTGAATCTTAAAATAAAAACGTTATGAACTTATGGCTTTTATTAGATTTGCCCATTTTTGTAATAATAGTAATCTTTCAAAGTATTGCAATTTGAAAGAACATCTCTGCTGAATTCTCAAATCTAGTGCACGCTCTGTAGGACATGTTATGTATGTATTACCGCTATATTGTATGGAGCTTATACCTAAAGTAGACATGTACACTGAACTGAGCAGTGAGATGCAATATATAACAATGCAATGTATAAGGTGCAATGGAGAATGTAGATTGCAGCGAAAACAATTAATTTTGTGGTGCGGTAGCGAACTTGAAACTCACCTTGCCAGCTTGATTATCTATTCAGAACTTTGCTATTCATCTGGCAAGATATTAGTCCCTGAGCTCCACATATGATAGTACAGAACAACATAACACAGATTTACACAACTACACAGTACAGACTACAGAGTTACAGAGGATTGTACACAACTACTGCACAGTACAGAGTTACAGAGGATTGTACACAACTGCACAGTACAGAGTTACAGAGGATTGTACACAACTACACAGTACAGAGTTACAGAGGATTGTACACAACTACTGCACAGTACAGAGTTACAGAGGATTGTACACAACTACACAGTACAGAGTTACAGAGGATTGTACACAACTACTACACAGTACAGAGTTACAGAGGATTGTACACAACTACTGCACAGTACAGAGTTACAGAGGATTGTACACAACTACACAGTACAGAGTTACAGAGGATTGTACACAGCTACACAGTACAGAGTTACAGAGGATTGTACACAACTACTGCACAGTACAGAGTTACAGAGGATTGTACACAACTACTGCACAGTACAGAGTTACAGAGGATTGTACACAGCTACACAGTACAGAGTTACAGAGGATTGTACACAACTACACGGTACAGAGTTACAGAGGATTGTACACAACTACACAGTACAGAGTTACAGAGGATTGTACACAACTACACAGTACAGAGTTAGAGAGGATTGTACACAACTACTACACAGTACAGAGTTACAGAGGATTGTACACAACTACACAGTACAGAGTTACAGAGGATTGTACACAACTACTACACAGTACAGAGTTACAGAGGATTGTACACAACTACACAGTACAGAGTTACAGAGGATTGTACACAACTACTGCACAGTACAGAGTTACAGAGGATTGTACACAACTACACAGTACAGAGTTACAGAGGATTGTACACAACTACACAGTACAGAGTTACAGAGGATTGTACACAACTACTGCACAGTACAGAGTTACAGAGGATTGTACACAACTACTGCACAGTACAGAGTTACAGAGGATTGTACACAACTACTGCACAGTACAGAGTTACAGAGGATTGTACACAACTGCACAGTACAGAGTTACAGAGGATTGTACACAACTACACAGTACAGAGTTACAGAGGATTGTACACAACTACACAGTACAGAGTTACAGAGGATTGTACACAACTACTGCACAGTACAGAGTTACAGAGGATTGTACACAACTACTACACTGCACAGTACAGAGTTACAGAGGATTGTACACAACTACACAGTACAGAGTTACAGAGGATTGTACACAACTATTGCACAGTACAGAGTTACAGAGGATTGTACACAACTACACAGTACAGAGTTACAGAGGATTGTACACAACTACTGCACAGTACAGAGTTACAGAGGATTGTACACAACTACTGCACAGTACAGAGTTACAGAGGATTGTACACAACTACTGCACAGTACAGAGTTACAGAGGATTGTACACAACTACACAGTACAGAGTTACAGAGGATTGTACACAACTACTACACAGTACAGAGTTACAGAGGATTGTACACAACTACTACACAGTACAGAGTTACAGAGGATTGTACACAACTACACAGTACAGAGTTACAGAGGATTGTACACAACTACTACACAGTACAGAGTTACAGAGGATTGTACACAACTACTACACAGTACAGAGTTACAGAGGATTGTACACAACTACTGCACAGTACAGAGTTACAGAGGATTGTACACAACTACTGCACAGTACAGAGTTACAGAGGATTGTACACAACTACACAGTACAGAGTTACAGAGGATTGTACACAACTACACAGTACAGAGTTACAGAGGATTGTACACAACTACTGCACAGTACAGAGTTACAGAGGATTGTACACAACTACTGCACAGTACAGAGTTACAGAGGATTGTACACAACTACACAGTACAGAGTTACAGAGGATTGTACACAACTACTTATACTACACAGTACAGAGTTACAGAGGATTGTACACAACTACACAGTACAGAGTTACAGAGGATTGTACACAACTACTACACAGTACAGAGTTACAGAGGATTGTACACAACTACTACACAGTACAGAGTTACAGAGGATTGTACACAACTGCTGCACAGTACAGAGTTACAGAGGATTGTACACAACTACACAGTACAGAGTTACAGAGGATTGTACACAACTACTACACAGTACAGAGTTACAGAGGATTGTACACAAACCACTGTCAACTTCATGTAATCTACATATCATTATCAGTTCATATTGCACAATCTATACTGCACTGGTGAAATGAGATGAGAGTTTGCTGCTACGTGTCCGAGAAATGCAATAAAAATTGATGCGCTCCATTGCTCCGAAATTAAACACAGCGAAACTGTTTACTTTCAGTAATAACTGTCAAAACTTAAACTTAGGTATCGTAGTTTGACTGATATTACATTATATTTAGCTATAAATTTAATACACGATGTGATGGTGGTCAGGTTGTAACCCAGTTACCTAGTAACTTAGTAACCTAGTTACCATTTTAGTAACCTAGTAACCTACCCTAGGTAGATGTAATGTAAGGCGATGTGATGGTGGTCAGGTTGTAACCCAGTTACATAGTAACTCAGTAACCTAGTTACCATTTTAGTAACCTAGTAACCTACCCTAGGTAGATGTAATGTAAGGTGATGTGATGGTGGTTGGCGGCGCTCCCGCTTTAGTATCTCAATTAGTTGGACACACCAACTCTGTTAACAGAGTTATACTCGTACCTAACGATGCGGCCCTTATCAGTGTATCTGATGATAGGTTAGTTTAACTAAATTACATTTTATACGCTAGGGAGATTGTTTGTTTTTTAAAGATTTTGCTGTTTCAAAGCAATTTAAATCATATTTAATTCAGAAAATTGAAATAAGCTAGATCCAATCTGATTTGAAAGTATTTTAGTAACTGTATATTATTAATATGGCGATATCCTATTTGAACTATTCTAATACACACTGCCATGCAGGACGTTGAGAGTTTGGATAAAGAGGTCATCGGGAGATTACTGGCCTTCTATCTGTCAAACTCTGGAATGTAAGTCAGCTCTCCTCAATTCCTGTTAAATTCTTATAGTCAACTCTGAAGATTCCTGTTAAATTCTTAATAGTGTTATAAACTGCTTATAGTGTCATCAAGTACTTTTTATAGATATTAATCGTGTCTTTCATTAAACTTCTAATAGAAACTACAGTAATTTTTTTCTGATTTCATTGTTTCGCTTAGAACATTTAACACAAATGTGCCAACTTTTATATTGTCTACAATACGTCAGTGTGCTTGCATTTTCCTTGTATCACTTATATCATGTTATGTTTCGCAGTGATTGCATATATTATGCATAGTCAGCACAATTACATAATTTGGAGATATTACAAGAATGACTAATGAGAAAGAATCATACCATTTTAGATTGAAACACAATGTTATTACTGTAATATTATTACATGTCGAATATCCCGAAATAGCTTCACATATCTAACTATCTAATATCTTGAATTTCTATCAATAGACTGGTATTTTAGGGTGTGTCTCGGCTCTCAAGCAACCTAGTAACCTAGTAACTCTTAAGTAACCTAATAACTCGAACTCTCACGTAACCTAGTAACTCTCAAGTAACTTAGTAACCTAGTTTCCTAGTAACCTAGATACCCCGAAATAACGCCATATATCTAATATCCTGAGATTCTATTAATAGTCCGGTATTTCAGGGTGTGTCTCCGCGCTGGCAATGGAGAACTTCCACCTCTTCGTGGGTCTCGAATCAGGCAGCATCAACGTGAGTTACACACTAAACTCACAACTATTATAACCAGCTATTAAACAGTTCAGTAAACCTACAGTTTTCCAAATTATCTGATCACGTTAGTTACGGTATTCCAAGAATGCGTGCAATAACCCCGCAAGCTTACACCTGTAATACCATTGACAAACTAACCAATCACGTGATCTCTAAATACCAGTAACATACTCCAACACATATCATGAACACTGTGTATTATACTGTTACTATATAGGGAAGTTGTACAAAATACATTCTGGAATGTATACTTTACTATACATAGTACGCAGCGCTGTCTTTGGCAATGTTGTATTCTAATTTTGTTTGTAACTCTATTGGGGTGGTGTCTTCTGATTGGCTGAAAGTTAGACATGCAATTTGAGGGCATGTAATGGGGCGGTAATGGGTTTAATTGGGAGGTAATTGTTTAATGGATTGTAATTAGTGAGGTGTGTTGGGTTGAGCATTGAGCAATGAGCGAGTTGAAATTGGTAAACCAGTCACCATGGTTTTACTGGTTTTACTGGTTTTACTGGTTTTACTGGTTTTACTGGTTTTACTGGTTTTACTGGTTTTACTGGTTTTACTGGTTTTACTGGTTTTACTGGTTCCACGTGCTGACTTGTTACCTTTTCAGCATTACAAGATAACAGAGGATTTAAACAGGATTACCCTACTTAGGATCTACAGCTGTAAGTATTATTTTGTTAATACTATTGTTGTACGTATTGTTGTCAATATTTTTATAGGTATTTTAGTAAGTATTTTAGTAAGTATTTAGGAAGTATTTTAGTAAATATTTTAGTAAGTATTTTAGTAAGTATTTTTGATAACATCGTTGGACTTATTACTTCGAGTACTGAGTTTTGTTTTAAGTGTTTTAGTTGGTATTATTGTGAATAATGGACGTTGTACTAGTGAGTATTGTAGTAAGTATTTTCACGCACCAAGCACCTTCAATATTATACAAATATTATACAAATATGGTATAACGTGCCAATACAATACATTGTTCAACGTCCTTATAAATACATATAATAACATTGTATGTGCATAATTTGGAGGTAGTGTGTTAACATGTACTCATAGTTTCTAGTGCTTACCCTGAATACTACTCCAGGTTATAGTGACAATACATGCTATTATATAATGCTATTATGTAACATTATACATACTTAAATAGTATTATTCGGATAATTATGGTACATAATATAATTGTGCATTTATAATATAATATCACAATATATTGTCACAACAACACGACTACTCGAGAAGTAGTTTATAATTTGTTACACACTCGATTTTACCCACTTTATAATTTGATGGCTAAAAGATGTGTGTACATGTTGATATGTTCCTGTGGTGGAACTAACCACGTACAATCAGCTCAATGGTTGTTGTCTAATGTTTGTCTGTGTGTCTGTCTGTGTGAACTGTGTGGACTGTGAGAGTGGACTGTGAGAGTGGACTGTGCGAGAGACGGAAAGCTTACTACTCGAGTAGATATTTTCTACTCAGATTGTGACTCTGTCATTATTGCAGATATCACACGTGAACCAACCAGTCATGAACCAAGTCAATTAGTGAGTCACTAATCAGTGGGAGTTAATGACACCCAATTAGTGATAATTAGTTATAATTAGTAATAATCTCATTTCAGCTCATCAGTTGAGAGTATCAGATCTGATCTACGATTCTACTCGAGATTGGCTGCTTTCAGTTGGAAAGGATAAGACTTTTCATTGGTACACTGGTAAGTTGTAATTTAGAGATAGCATCACATGTGTAATTTAGAGATAGCATCACTATTAGATATACCTACTGTAAATAATGTGAATTACTTAGTCTTGTTCAGTTATGAAATCATTGGCTAAGTATATACATAATTTAAAGCATATAATCACAAATTAACAACTCCAATTTCTAAAACTTAGTCCAATAATTATGTTATTCAATAAATTAATCCAGTGGCATTAAATAAGCCACCTAGAAAGTTAGTAATTTATCACAATATTACAATTACAAGTAACCGAAGAGCTGTAAATTTTAAAACACCAACTTACAAATGATTTCGTGGAAAGTGTTCGGAGATTAACTTTTCAGAGCACTTAGATAACACAGCCTAGTAAGCTAATCAATAAGCTAAAATTATCACTTTATAAAATAACGATATAAATAATATTAGAACGTAAGCTTTTACACCATTTTATTTCGCATAAAATTCATAGTATCTCATTACATTCTTGGCATCGGTTTAACTAAAAGGTTGGGACAGAAACGGTTCAAGTTTAGTTGTTGTAAGATAGCGAAAAGAGAGAGAAATGTGTAACATCAGGGTTTGAGACGACTCCTAAAGGACACATGAATAAATGAATACAAGATGCACCCCTTTCAATGTGGCTGTATCACCTATAATATCTAGATAAGCTGAGTTTACACCGTCATATTCAGTTACCATGTACAATGTACATTGTACATTGTAAAATATAAACATTACATAACCTTACACCTACACACCTAGTGTAATGTACCAGTGTAGTACACATCCACCTTATCTCTTCTTCAGCTAGTACCCATCTTCTCACACTTCTTATCTCTTAATGTTGTACTTCATCTTATCTCCTCTCTTTAGCAGGTATCTAGCTAATATAAATATCGTGGCGTTGTACTTTTACGTGTACACTGCACAATAAAACAGCGATTTACTGCGGATTTTTGGAGAAAGGAATTGAAAAAGCGGGGTTTGTGGTAAATCAGGTCACAGAAAATCGAGGTTTTACTGTACTTAGGTTAGCTCAGACAATTCTCCTGATGAATTTTTACATGCTATTACAGGGAGGCCAAAATTAAATTTAAATATTCAAACGCTAAAAATCATTTGATCAGGTAAGATACCCTATACCTCTTCCTGTTAAACACAGCTCAAGTCAGACTCCAGTGTAGTTATTTCTGGCCCACCTTTCACGTATAACTAGATATTAAGCCCCTCCGGCCTCCATTGCATTGTGACATTATATTGGGTTGGTAGTGGTACGAAAACTGTAAGCCTTATGGCCTTATAGTATAAGGTAAATCAGGGTTAAAACAGCAGTTCCATGACCACTTTTGGATTACATACTCTACATTGTACAGTATGTAATCCAAAAGTGTTAATCATTTACTTGGGTATTTAATAAATTGACCGACACAGAATTTAATTACATCATCTAATTGTAAGGATTTGAATTTAACAAGAATTTGAAATATGTTGCGTGTTTACCACAAGGCAGACAAATTTCAAGGTAAGGACATTTAAACCGTATTTAGTCATGATCGTCGTGAGGACAGCGTCTTTTTGATAAATAAAGAATAACTGCCGACCCAAAGAAGCAGTGCTTAAAGGGAAAAGGTTGAGGTTTCGCGGTGACCTCAATCTTCTTTTGAAACTGTACGTGAAACGTTGAATTTGGTGGTTTACAGTGGTTTGTACTGTGTGCGTGACGGTCGAGTGACATTTTAAACTGCACACTATTTGATTGCTATTTAGCTTAGTTATATAATAATGGCTTGAAAGACGCGTAGTCCCAGACTCTTTAGAGTCATGAGAAACTTTATCCTATAATAATATTAATTATTATATAATCACCTCTTTACCCCATCATCCCCAGCTGAAGTATTTTGAAAGCTCCTGCTTAATAAACATTTCCACTTATATGTTTTAAACACTCCCCTCCAGGCCATAATTGAAAGTTTGGGAAAATGTGAGCAGTTTTTCGTAATCTTTTGATGCCCATTTGTAAAGCATAGTCTTTTGACAAACATTTGGACAAGAATGTAATGAAACTTAATTTAAGACGGTTGCTTTACTTATGCTGCACTCTTGGCAGAGAATGCCGAGTTAGGATATGAAACACCTGTCAGTCGCTGTTACCGTTTAACCATCAACACGACTACTAGTGCTACATGCCTGAAATAAACTACCTGACTATAGTTCCCATGAACTAGGTAGGTACTTAGGTTGGTACTTAGGTAGGTACTGAGTACCTCAAACGTCTCCAGACATGAGCTGGGAAATGCGGGGGATTCTATTTAGGTTAATAGCTAAATATAGGCAAACCGTCAAATAGTGCAACTGTCGCACATTTCAACGTTCAGCAACGTCCCTACGTATATCATTTCAAATTCCCGTTATCCAAAACCCGTAAAGAAATCCTACATACAGTTTACTGTTCAATGTGCACAGTTGTAACTCCTGGTACATGGCTGTTAGCCAGAGTTTTAAAAATATTGGCACCTTCTTCGTCAATTCCTTTGCAACTGTATAACAACGATACACGACATGGTACATTAGTGAATTATTCCATTTGAATGTGTGATCTACGTCAAACGAAAGAGGGTTATTAAGTGGGAATATTGAAGTTATTTAGTCTATCAAGTAGTCCTCTGACGTTAAACTTTAACAAGGTCGGGTTCATTCAATGCTAGGTCGTTGGGCACTATGTTAAACATTACGCATACCATAATTAAAATAACTTAGTAGATTCAAAACATAACTTTGAATACCACTACAAAGTGAACATACTTTAAACGCATTCTATAAACACAGGAAATATGTTATATAATTTGCTAACAAACTATTTGTTTCAGGAGAGACAGGGAGGCGACTAGGAAGCTATGTGGCAGGAGCCTGGTGTCTGTGTCTCGCCTTCGACCGTATCAGTAACTTTGCTTTTATTGGGGACTACGGTGGTGGTATTCATATGGTGAAGTTGGAGGAGGGGGAGGAGTTTAAGTTCGTTACAACCCTTAAAGGACACGCTGGTTTGTGATTTACAGTGACGTGTTAGTTTATGTTGTAAAGTGGTACTTCCACTGTTTCATTAAGTTATTAAATATTACATTTCATGTTATAACATATTTAAGTTATGGACATAACTTGAATATTTAATTTATGCGGTAGATTTAAGGCTACTCAACAAATTTTCTTGTGTTATATCTTTAACTCTAGGAGCTTAGAAATTATTATTGCTCACTTAAGATCAGAGGCATGACTACAGGTTTCGTTTCCATTAAAATAATCTGTGCTAAATTTGTGTGTACCCTCAGGTTCAATCAGATCTCTTACTTGGGACGAAGAAAAACAGATTTTAATAAGTTGCAGCGCAGACAAGAGTATATTTATTTGGGAAATAGGAGAGGGAAAGGGAAATGCTATCCAACTCAACTGTCACAGGTACGGTTATTTCTTCATTAACATTTCAGTTAACATCAAAGGTATGGATTTTGTTTTCAGTTTTAACATTATTGGAATTTATGTGCATAATATGCAAAAGCATCCTGATATTATCATGATACTAATTGATTGGTAAAGCTGCATTTAGTTTAAAAGAAGGTGTTAATAAGAGAAGAAAAACAGTGCTTTCTTAAAAGAGTTTTAAAGGGCATGTTTAACCATGCCTTACAGTAGAGGAGAGGATTCAGTCTGATAAATTTACTCTCATATTTCAAGTTTGTTTCAATTGAGTCATAGCTCTGTGTTATGCAAAAATTAAGGCAGCTGTCAATTTTTACAGTTGTTCTGGCATGCATAGCGAATGAAATTACTGTCTATTATATGGCATAATACCAGAATGTCCGCCATGTTTTATATCTAGCTTCTAGGTGCCTATTAGAGCTGTCAAAATTGCTTTTGCGGGACAATCTATAATTGTGTCAGTATTTATGGACCAAAATACTTTTCTATTTCTAGTCTGATAATTGCAAGTCAGTAAATTAAGACATGTTAACTAATTTTGCAGTGCATTTTAATAGTATTTGGTGTCTAGCATTTTCATGCTTGTAATTCGACTAGTAAATCTGGAGAGAACCAGGAAGGTTTCTACTTTATATCTGTATTGTACGGTGGCGCGAAACGACATATCGAATTTGTCTGTAGAAATGGGATACGTCCTGGCGCAAAATTTGTGCCGCGCAATTTCAATTATTGCGTGCGCATTGTACTCTTTCAAAAACAAAGATCGCAGTTCTCGTGATTTGAATCATCAATTTCAGAAGGTGTTACAGGAAAGCATTTGATGTCATTCTTGCCCTAAATTATTCAAAACAATAGTTTAACTTCCTGTTCTGTGGCCGGTCATAGAAATTTGTCACTTGTGGCGAGGAACAGAACAGTTCGGGTGGATGACGAAATTGTAATCTACGTTTGCCTCTTTACGTCATTGTAAACTGTGCAACTTCCAATTCCATTCCTTAAAATTTTGGACTTTATGCAATTTTGTAAGAAAATTTCATGGCGTTTGGAAGGAACCTCTCAAATTCAAAATTCGTATGAACACAATTTCATTCCGTCAACATTGAAAATAGTCGGGCCCTAGAAATTGTAGGATATCACTTTAGATTTGAGACAACATTCTATTATGATTTATGACAGTCTCTCAACTGTTTTGAATAGGTCAACCTTCACAATGTGTGTAGCACAGGTATTCCATTCATCGTTTAAAGCCTGTGGGCATTTCAAGGACATTTAATAACTTTTCCCATTTACTAGGGAGAGAGTTAACGACATAGCATATTGTGCACCGAGCAGATTATTGTTCAGTTTTGGTGTGGACAAGAAGATGACTGTGTGGAATCTGAGAACTGAAAGGAAACCGGTAATTGTTCTTCTACTTTGTTTCAAAATTGTCATGAATCATGATCATTCTAGAACAGCTGATGACTGCAACATACAGTGTGGGTATTAATAAATTCCAAACCATTTATTTAAACTTCAACTCCAAGTTTTTTAAGGTTTAACTAAACTTTATTTAAATTTCAGTTTGCATTATGGCAAGAGAGTAACGAATGTCAGGAATGTAAACTACCATTCTTCTGGAATGTCCAGAGACTCTGGCAGGAGAAGAATGTCATGTTCAAACGGCAGGTAGACAATTTTAACACTAATTTCAAAACAAACAAAACAAGAAATAGTCTCTTTTATTGTTTTCCGGTCCGTCACAACTGTTAACCGCGACCATCCGTAGATCCCTAAGGTTTGTCAAAATTAATTTAAAAAACTGTAAATTTTAGCATCACTGTAGACGGTGTGGTAGGGCGGTGTGTGGGGAATGTTCCCCAAACGAGTCCATTCTGCCGAGTTATGGGTTCGAGTATCCTGTAAGAGTATGCAAACTATGCTATCAGGATATTTCTGAAGAAGAGTAAGTTTGTTTATTGTTATTTTGTTAAATTTGGTAATCTGGGGGGAATCGCCCACGTTCGAGATTCATCTCAGAAATGTTACTGTCTGAATATGACCAGTTTATTTAAAATGTTGACATAAACTTTTAAAGCTAACGTAATTTTGGGTATCTTTTGTCGGGAATCTGTTGAAATTTGGACGTCATCCAATTTTATGTTGATGATCTCCCAATACTCCCATCAAATAAAATAGAAATTAGTTTAGTGCTTCCTGAAACTGCTATCAATTTAGTATTCTTGTAGAAAGTCACTGAGTATGAAAGTAAAATATAATTAATCAGGTTACGCAGTAGCACTCTGACCCACAACATTCTTATCGAGCCTACTTGTGTTGATTTCGACTACTCCAAGAAACTCATGGCTGTGGGAGCTTCTGATAATGTCATCCGGGTTTGAAGTTATCTTTTTTTACAGTATTACCATGTTGCTTATTATTTCAACCTTGATTTAGCGAAATTGAAGGTAAGTAAACGCTTGTCCAATCATTTTTATAATCCGTTGTACAACCTTTTATTCCAGTTATACGATGTGGCTGCCTGTCTCTGAGAACCAAGAATCTATGAGGAGATCTGAACCTCTTGTACTGTCCTGAAATACCTCAACTTCCTACAGATATTCCCAAGAATCATATAATTGTGGAATGTGAACTACGATCATGCCAAAGGACACTGATAAGCTGCCAAATCCCGTCATCCTATATCATAAAAAATATGTAATTTTGAACTCACTTCAAAATAAAATTTTTGTGTTCGTGTTTTTTTGTTTATGTGTGATTTATTATTTACAAAGATTGAAGTCCTGGAGACTGAATGGAAATTGGAATCGACGATGGTTCGAAAGTTTTGAGTTATGATTGTAAATGTAAACTCATTTTTATTGTTAATTTTATTCTTGTACCTATGATAAAATGATAGCTTTTGGTTTATTCCGAGAATAGAAAGATGTTGTTGCAGTTGAACCTCGCCAATTATTATACGGTTCGTGGTATAACAGATTCTCGTTCTACTTAATGCAAGCTCTGTCCTCTTCGTACTCGCTGAACTGTGAAATTGTGGTGATCATTGAACGTTATCTCCAGCTGTAGAGCAGAATAGCCCCGCTACTAGTACTACGTAATAATAGTGCAAAGTGTGACCATGGATGGCCTTGACACTTGATAGTGCTTTTATATGGCCGAAGACCGCAAACAGAATTGAAGGCTCGAACCCAGCACTAATATTGAGAATTCTGTTACTATATGGAGATAAGATATGAATCTTAATCATAGTCACGTTAATAAAATATCAAGTTTGTTTGAGTATTAAATGATAATTCTAATTGAAGCTGTTTGTTTCTTTTTTGTTAATATGGGGTCGTTCATTTGACCATTGTTAATGGTCTGGCCCGGCGCGCGCTACTTCGTAGCACTTGCCGTCGAGAAGAAAGCGGCGCGCGCTACTTCGAAGAAATTTAGACGAGTAACATCCGTCAAGTCGTTCATATGTTACGTAATCAATATTTTAGCAATTTTTACCCCCTCCCCTCCATAATCAACCGTAATCAAGACTCAACCCCCCAATATTACGTAATCATGGCCTGACCCCCCCCCCCCCCCCCTTGACTTTTTTCCCTAGAAAACACTTATCTCTACGTTTCAAGCTACCCCGATCATGCTATCATGATGATATCCGGCCAAGCCAAGCTACTTCTAAACTACTTACTATTATAGCTGGATATTCGATCAATTTCTAAATTTTATCACTATCAGAGTGAAATTGAGTGGAATTTGAACTAAAATATTGTTGACGGACGTTACTCGTCTAAATTTCTTCGAAGTAGCGCGATGGCAAGTGCTGCGAAGTAGCGCGCGCCGGCCTGATCATTAACAATGGTCAAAAATATTGTCAAATTGTTATTATTCTACAGGGTAAAAAAGACAATTTTGATTACGTAATCAACGACCAAACCCCCCCCCCCCCCCCCCCCCGTAATCAACCGTAAGCATTTGGAAACCCCCACGACTGATTACGTAATATGTGAACGACCCGGCCCTATAGAGTATAGCTCTAAAAATTGTCGGTTAGCCATTCATTTAGGTAGTGCACCATCGACAGTGAGCCGCGCGTGCCGACGCGACTGTAGCGACATGTACGATGTAGGATGATTTTTTAATTTCGGCCAGCACAACTTTCTTCAAACAAATGCACATTGAGTAACCTTCCCTCAATCCAATTTCAACAAAAATTGGTATGCTTACTGATAGACTTATATTATGTATTACAAGGAAGCTGTCTGCTGTCCGAAAAATTTGAGGCATATCCAATTATCAAACATTATATTACTATAATAGCTTGATTCACGATGTCAATCCTTCGCAGCTCGGTGAGGCACAGTGGTGCATCTCGCCGATCTACCGAAGGTTGCGAGAAGCATTATTTGATGCGCGCGCGACCCAGTAGTGCATCGCGCTACAATATAATAGCTCAAAGCAACGTCTTTTGCCTCATTTTCATTTGCATTACCAATTACTATATTTTATGTCAACTCGGACATCCGTCATCCACCAAATTTTTCAAACACTTTTGACAGTCCGATTTTCACATAGCCATGTGCCTACGCGTACTGCGTAACGCGCTTGTTTCACAAGCGACCTCCGGCGGTCGCGCGCTACTGCAAGCGAGAGGGCTCTGGTTAGAGCAAAGTCCGATTGGAAGGTCTTTACGAATTTTCAGCATGACTCCATATCAGGAATTTGAGATGCAAGATGTAACAGAATTGATTTACGATGTCAATCCTTCGCAGCTCGGTAAGGCACAATGGTGCATTTCGCCGATCTACCGAAGGTTGCGAGAAGAATTATTTGATGCGCGGCGTGATCCAGTAAGTAATGCATTGCGCTACAATAACAAAATAATACGACCGCGACAAAAATTAACGAATTTCGTCAAATAACGCGACTTTTACAATTTACATGACGATGTCAATTCATCGCAGCTCGGCGAGGCCAGATCTAGCGTGTAGCGAGGCTGCGAGTTGATTGACGATGTCAATCCGTCGAGATCGTTGCTCTGCGAAGCAGAGCAACGATCGTCGTCGACTAGCAAGAATGCTAGTTTGCGCGGCGCGTCGAAGCGGCGAAGTCCTCCAAGGCTGCGAGAAGCATAATTGAGTGCGCGGCCCATGCAGTAACGCATCGCGTTACAACTTTTACACTTACTGAAGCTCGAAAAGCCGCGCATCATCAAATATGGCACCTTTACTGGGCCGCGTTCAGCCTGTCATTCCGCCGAATCTCTAATATTCGCGTTCGGAGCTATATGTTTATGAACATAACAGCCTAAGGTCCCCAAGTAAATGACACCTTTACTGGGCCGCGCTCAGCCTGTCATTCCGCATAATCTCTATTCTATATGTTAATGAACATAATAGCCTGGGGTCTTCAGGTAAATGGCACCTAGGCGAAATTCATCAATTATTCCAAATTGAAAATCCGATAAGCAAGTTTATTTTGTTGTGCACTTCTTATATACTACTAATTCATTGTAGGTTACTGGTTAACTTGTAGGTTTATAACGTAGTACCAAGACGCGCGCCGAGTTGGACAACAAATATTTTACGACATACGAGTATCACCCGTTAAATAAAAGGTTAACATGATCCTATTTTAGAAATTTGAGGTATAGTTTGATTCACGATGTCAATCCTTTGCATCTCGCCGATCTGCATAAGTAGTTGCGAGAAGCATTATTGGATGCGCGCGTGACCCAGTAGTGCATCGCGCTACAAAGGTATAGTATAAAGATTTAAATTATAGATTTGTGCACATTATGCTTTAATACTTTAAATACAAAATACTTACCATACAAATCAAAAAATAAAGTTTACAAGTGTACACAGAACGGTCCAAATCTAATCGCCACCTGTTGATTCACGAATCACGATGTCAATCCTTCGCAGCTAGTTTTCACTTAGTGAAACGACAATGGGCGGGTCATGACGTGCCATGCAATACAAATAAATCAAGCATTACATTCATGCATTTTAGCCGTGCAAAATTAAAATGTCTAATTGATAAATGGTACTGCAATATATTAGTTGCTTAATGTGTGGCCAAATGACAACTAAATAAACAAAGAATAAACTTGATCATATAATACAAATTAATTCTGCTGAACCAAAACATAGCAAGAGCCACATTAACGTTGGGGCCGTCAATAATGATCAGGGTGACAATTTTCTCGACTGACTGACAATGTTTCTTCTTTTCCTCATTTAGAATACAAAGATTAGTACATTTTAGCTTATGATTAATATTATATTTTTACCTATAGTTAACCTAGATGAACTGTGGATCGGAGAAAAGTAGAAAGAAAGGCAGTTTCCCTGTTTCTTACCTGGGGACCCTAGGCTATTATGTTCATAAACATAAAATAGAGATTCGGCGGAATGACAGGTTTAGTGTCGCCGAGTAACCCGCTTCCGAACTAGCTCGCACTTCATAGGGGAGTCCTGCCCTCCGAGATCGAATTACAAAGGGGAGCCTTGTAATTCCTGCCCCCCCTCTTCCTACACCCCTAGCTGGTGCATCCTAAGCTATATTTGATTAAATATGAGTGCTGAGTAGCAACTTGAAAAGGGAATATACGTACCTACTTAGCTATGTTAGCAATGATTCCAGCAGTTAGCAGCAGTCAGTAGCAGTTAGCAACAGTCAGCCGCAGTTAGCAGCAGTTTCTTTGCACTATAGTCCCCCTGTGAGGAGAGTCACATGATCAATGATCATATGCTGCACTGTGAATCTGAGCTCAATATATTTCATATTTCGATCTGTCGTTGTTTTGTAGGTTTACAAGTTTTCAGGGCATCTCATATTGTTTGAAAGTTAACATTTAGCCTTGGCTATCAATCTACATTGTAAAAATGTGGAAAATGAATAAGAACGAATGTTCAATTTTTAATTTTTCAAATAACTGATAAAATGATATGCTGTTTGTCAAATTTTATATCTTTCCAGTAACTCACATGTACAAATTATTTTAGATAACGTTAACCTTACTGCTATATCTATTAAACTCCACTTATCATCATGAAATAAGTGGCATGAAAAGGATTACCTTCAATTAATACCATATCGATTGTACTGAGCCTGCTATTGTTAATTCTGCACAATAGTTTCAGTACAATTTGTAATTTGATAATCTAATCCATTATCATTGGCAATTCTCATGGGAAATGACTCATTTCCCATGAGACACATGATACACATATTATAGATAATTTACTTCTGCTGTTTTGCACTTGCTCTAACTTCCATTAACCATAATTGTAAGTTGCTAGTAATATATCACACATATTCCATCTACAAAATTGATTGAAATATAATGCTGAGTAAAAGTGTACGCTTAATAGTGGTGTTTTTAAATTTCAATTTTAATTAATAATTAATGCCAGTTAAACTGCAATGAAATATAAAGCCAATTCTACCATTTCATTACTTGTGATAGAAAAGATATGCTCTCGGCTGGACTTGAACCAGCAATCTTTCAATTAACAGCCAAACCGATTGCGCCATGAAAGCTTATTGGCAATATGAAATGGATGAATGTTCTTAACCTTTTTGTAAGCTTCTCGATATCATGAAACATCCTACCAATCAAATTATCTAACATCACACTACTTACTATACAGGATTTTATGGCTTACTCATTTCATGGGTTTTTTGGTGATGTGGAGACTCCTGATATGGTTCTAAGGAGCTTATTTTCGAAATATGATAAGGATAACAGCGGTACTTTGGCTGGCATAGAACTTAAACAGTTTCTGGAAGAAGATCTCGGAATGAATACAGAAGAGGCAGAAATCTATGCTATGTTAAGTGATGAAGATGGGTCAAAGAGCATGAGTTACGATGAATTCAAACAATGGCTAAATAGTGGAGAAAATTTCCAATATGTCAACGATTCCTCCAAATTCTTCATTGTACACAAAGCTGTTGAAATGTTTCAACAGTATGACACTGATGGAAAAGGTAGTTTAGATGTCGGAGAATTTACGAAGGTTTTGACTGATCTGAATTATGAGGCTAATACTGCTGATGCTGCTGTCCTAGCACTGGACAAAGACGGAAATGGTGTTATTTCTTTTTCAGAATTTTTGGCATGGTTGCACTGGGTGTAAACATTTAAACATAAAACAATGTCTGATTTCTATTATATTATACCGATGTTACTTTTATCTACCACTTAGATAATTACTTTTTAAACTGAACTTTGATTACTTTCTGAAATACATTTTGATTTAAGTTTAATTTACATTTTTCATTGATAAAATTTAAATTGATTGTTTTCAAATACTGTGTCCTTTATTTAAATAACTAATGTAAGATTACTAATGTTAAGCTGGAATAATTTATTCAAATTCATTTCTGTAGTAAGATGGCTAGTTTGATAAGCTTTTGTAATTTTATAAAGGTATCATTGATGGTTTAACCCCTGGTAACAAATATGATATATATATAATATGGTAAATCTTTTTTATGTTTGAGGTTAGATTTTAGTTTTTGCAAGATCCGTTCTGTTTGAATTTTATCATTATTGCAGTATTCAAATTTAATCGTTTCCCTTCTTTAATTTGAAGCCCAAAAACGACAATAAGAGTAAATTGCATTATTTTAAGAGTATTTTCATAATATTTTCAGCATATTGTTGCAATTCAAGTTACAAGTATTGCCATTTGCATTGGTATTTATCTTAAAACATGAATGATCCGACTGGAAGCCATGTAGATTGTAGCTCATTATATTTTGCCTTTTAAACTTAACGCAGTTCAGTATGATTGGCTGCAGTTTGGTGATGGGGAGCAGGGGTAATGATTGAGTTCACAATGATGAGACATGCAGACCGTGACATAGAATATCGCATTACTGAAGTTGAGGTATTAAAAGAAATTTTGAAGTTTTAAACAATTCATTGGTATTTGGTAACGTAAAGACATAATTAACGTGGTGTGATTTCGAATAGTAATTAATTATGAATTAATAAATCATAAACATTTGATCCTCTGAATAGAAGTCGGCGAGTATCGATGAAGAGAAGGTAAAGCAGGAATTGTACGATGCTCTCCGTGACAAAAAGAAAGTTATAGAAGACCTTAGGGAGCAACTTGCCTTCAGGTTTCTTTACATTCCCTAAAAATCGGTCATAAGAGGCAAACTTAGCTTTCTAAACTGCAGAGCTATAAGCTACACTTGAGTAAATTTTGAACTGACTCGTACTCATAAACATAATTATTGATATAATAGCGATTATTTAATATTCTAGTTTTTCTAGACATTGTGTGGTTCATACTTGCAACTATTTAATGCAACTGATTTTCAGAAACTCTGCTTTGGAACATGAGATCACACAAAGACAGTTGTTGGAGGATGACAGGAGAAACCTTGTCCTAAGATTGGAGGTTTGTCATTATCTTTTAGAAGTAAAGCGTTCAAAATACTAAACATTTTATTGTCATTTCAGAATCAAATGTACCGGTTAAAAAACCCGACCAAAATTACCATCTTTATTTTTAACTTAAATTCGAATGATATCTGGTAAAATGTACCCAATTGAATAAAATGTGATCATCATTGTTATCCTGATATTCTTAATAAGCGTAACAAAACGAATTATAATTCTATCGATAAAACTTAGTTTATAGTTCAGGATACTTGTAAAGAGGTGAACCACATTTGTTTTGCCACGTGAAAGTGCACGTGTCAATGCTGGAATATGATTCGATTGGTTAATCGCTGTCACGTGTTTGAAAATGAATAGTTCGTCTCACCAGGAGTATCCATCGCTATCAATACTATACATGGTACGAAATACCATACAATTCAAAGGGGAAAATTTACAAATGAGCGAACATTTACCAATTACCAGAATTAACATAACACTGACCCTCATGGAATGCCGTCAACGAATGTACACCATACTGAGTCACAGTATAATATATCAAATAACTATAATCTCCGTCCCAGCTGTACCACAGCTACAGCTACACTCTACAGGCAGTGCCCACAGTTTAACCTCCGTCTTGTAACTTAGTAATCTGAGCATGTTTCCGTACGTGAGCTTTATTCGATTGATATCTTTGTTTTGTTTGTTATCATTTGCAGCTTTTACTGTACTTTATGCGGTGTTATCTCTCGTTTCTTTGCCTGAAGCTGGTAATGCTTACGAACAGCTCAGTTTTACAAGGATAACATTATTGAACCAAGACGAATCTTCAGTTTACCATCAAGACACTATCAAATCGTATCGCAGTAGAATCATTACGGAGTGGTATTATAAGAACAAACTCTCAGAACTTTCTAAAGATGAAATTAGAAATATTTCCGAGGTTTTTCACCGAAATATAACAATTCAGTATCAGAGACAGCTCCTGCCACCCTCCAAACCTCTCTTTGACATCATGTGCTTTGATCACATTGACAATACCTACCACACAAAGGTATCTGTTATCATCACGTACTACAACGAGCTTCCCATTCTTCTGATGCGAACACTTACTACAATCAAACACAGAACACTACCGAAGTATCTGAAAGAAGTTTTGCTTATTAACGACAACAGTTCCATAGACATCACAGAAGAGATAACCCAGTTTGCAAATGATCAGGATATTCCGTTAGTGTATTTACACAATGACAAGCAGCTTGGTATTGCTAACTCTCGGAGGAAAGGGATCTTTGCTGCAACTGGAGATATTTTAGTTCTTCTTGATAGTCATATGGAGGTGAGTTATTATTATAAGTATCTAAATCTCGAAGTCTCTGTTGTTACAAAATTTATTACCAAGTTACCAGTAGTTAGGCAACGAGAACTGTTTTTACTTTTTTGTGATCTCGAAGGATTGACCTTTCACAGCTTTAAAGTGTACATTTTCTGCAAGGTTTTCTACAACTTATAAACACGTGTTTACAATGTTTACAGGTTAATGATGGCTGGCTGGAACCCCTCCTGAACGTCTTGAAAACTAAACCAAGAGCTCTAGCTACCCCCCTAATCCACATGTCAGACGAACAAAAGTATTCCGCCCACTCTAACATGGTAGCGACCCCTTACTACATCAGAATGCAGAAAGCATTTGGAGTATTTGATATTATACATACAAGAGGTTCAGGGACTGGTAAAAGATGGGAGTCATACCCTTCCTCCAGTCTGTTAGGTGGTGGTATTGCCGGTTACAAGTCAGTGTTGGAGGAGCTGTATCCTGAGGGTGTGATGGGTAATGGATGGGGTGTGGAGAACAACAGATTAGCGTTCAGAGCCTGGATGTGTGGTGAAGGAGTGTGGATGTGCCCCTGCAGTCAGGTTTTATACTGATTATTTTCGATTTTGTGTCATTTCTGTTAATTTATAGCCGATACTTTATTTAATCATGGGGAAGTTGCCGTTTTGAAATGTGAAAACTAACGTTTTGTTTTATAATGTTGATATGTTTTTCAATAACCTCCAATCTCCATTCCAGATTCTCCATCCCAATGGAAACGATGGAATTCTCCTGCGATACTTCCCCAGTGCAAAACATTTTCACCATCTCATGGGAGAATCTTTATCAGAGGCGATAAATTTCGTTAAAGAAGACAAAGAGAAAAACAAACTCGTTTTAAAATTCACAAATGACCCCGAATTCCAGGAGATTATTAAAAAGAATGCCATCCGTATAAAATCCGTGTTTGATCCTGATAAACAGAAGTGTAAAGACTATTCCTACTACACCAACGACGTGTACGAAAATTATTTATCCTGGGAAAATGACCAGTTCTCAATTGTTGGTGAAATTCAGTCAGTAGCTAAACCTTATATATGTTTGGAGGCCATAAACTTTAATATCGTGCCCTATGCGTGCAGACAAGAAACCACTACAGTGAACGATGGTCACACAATGGGATTCACTAAAAACAATAACATTAGAGTTGGCAGTAACGATAAATACTGTTGGGATGGACCTGGTTCGGAGATAAGGTTGTGGTCATAGTGTATCCCTGTCATACATCTTCAGCAACAGAAGGCAAGCCATTCGCATCTCAGCATTTTGAGTTCAACAACGAGACTGAACAAATTATCCACGTTCCTACTAATAGGTGTTTAGAGATTGCAACTGACGATAAAACAGTTTGGCTTGTTAAATGTGATTTGGAGTGGAGGTTAGAGCAGAGATGGACCATAAAAGTTAGTGCATGGTTTTAGCGATTATATACGTCTGCATGATAATTTCCTAATTTGGCCATGTTGTGTTAGCGATGTTTATTTTACAATTTTATCACAAAACGTACTCATTTTTACTCGAATACAGTCCACTAATAAATGATTAATGTGAAGATATGCATTTTCGTTCCAGCTACCTACCGATTTTAAATTTAAACTGTTAAATTAAAAGTTCAGCGCAATTATCAGTGCTCAATGTTCAGTGTTCACGACTGTTCGGGAATATAATTCTTGGAGAAAATAATAATATATTATGCATGTTCACATGTTGGTCAACGTGGTGTTCACCAAAATATCACAATCTCCCCAAATCCATGACGCCAAATAAACATTTGATTTACCGGTTCTGTGTGTCATTGATTGAAAACGTGCTAGTAAACACTACCTCTGAACCATTTGACTGAAATTTCTAATCTTTATATTATTAGATTTAAAATATCTTCAAATTAATAAATTCAATATTAATTTAATATCCCGTTTGGGTCGGTTATTTTATCGGTAAAACTTTGTGAGGAAAATGTAGGAACTAAAAGTATATGACAAACCCTTATTCCAAACTCTTTTTAACATTAAATTATAATGCCAAAGGATTGAACATATAGCATCAGCTATCAACTTATAATCAGTATAGTTTCGCATGAGATTTCTCTAGTCTTGTTGCTTTGTAAATCTAATTAGTAGTTGTAGTATTGTCCTGCAATATAAAGTGGGTGATACTTTAAGATTGATGTTTTTGTAGAAGTATTGTTAATTGTAACTAAAGTTTCATATATCCCGTGCACGAAACTCTGGCCCTCAAAAGCATAAAATTAAACTTAAGCTCACTAAAACCTCCAATTTAAGGGGCCAATACTTCGTGTGTGGGTTATTTGTTAAATTTCTCAAGACACGCTGGCAATTATCAGCGCTCGGTGTTCACGACTTTTCGGGGATATAATTCCCGGAAAATATTATAAGTTATGATATTATGTATATTAGTATATTATGCATATTGGTCAACGTGGTGATCGCCAAAATATCACAATCTTCCCAAAGGCCAAATCCACTACAACCTCTACACTTTGGTGTATGCTCCCTTAAAAGGGCCTTCGTGTGCGGGTTATTTGTTAAAGTCGTGAGTTTAAATTAAATGAACAGTCTCACGAGGTGACTATTCTTTTTATTGATACTGGAGTTAACTGGTTTATCACTTGACAATTAAAGCAAGTCACGTGCTATCTACATTCTACAATAAAACAAAAAAATGAAATTCCAGAACGAAGTGATGGGTAAGAATTAAGATTACGCAATTAGAATGTAACAGTCACAGATCGTACATTATGGCTCACTGTACACCTCAATACGTTCCCAGCCTCATGAGGATATGTGTATACCATAACTAGCTCCTACACACTCGCTCCTTTACTCTCTACTAGCGTTCTTCGTGTATGTTTGCAGATTGTATCTGTGGACTTTGCGACTATTAGATGTTACTTTGTTACGTACCCAGGGAGTAATTTATGTATTAATAATATTTTGATTCGTATTTGATCAGACTGTTCCTGGTACTCCTGGTACTCCTCCTTCAGTGTAACCTGTAAAACTAGACTCAACACTCCAATCAGATACTACCCGAGACCACCAGACCATGTTTCCGTACAAAAGTATGTTCAGACTGTTAGTGACCCTCAGTGTCCTCAGTCTCACAGTTATCTCCCTCCTCCTCGGTCTCCTTTCTCTCATCACCCCCGCTGATTACTACTCTGATCCTGATGCTCTAGATAAAGCTATATTCTACGGTAACGCCCTGTTGAGTAGTGAGCTGTATTATGTGGACGATGCCAAGTCTTTTAAGAGTAGGGTCTTGAAAGAATTTGAGTATAAAGAGAAATTAGCTTTGTTGTCGGATAACGAAGTGAAGCAACTGACAGAAAAATATTACAGAAATATTACAATTCAGTGGAGTCAGCGGGACCTATTACCGAAGTCAAAGCCCTTATACGATATTCAGTGTTTAAGCTATCTTGACAAGGACTACGATGTGACAGTCTCCGTTATAATCGCATATAACAACGAACTATCAGTGCTTCTCCTCAGAACTATAACCACCGTCATTCACAGAACTTTACCTAAATACCTAAAGGAGATAGTTCTGGTAGATGATAACAGTTCGTTAAATATAACAGAGGAGGTATTAGACTATGCAGCAGATCACCGCATTCCGATTAGATACCTCCGTAACAATGTGAGAAGAGGTATTGCTGGCTCCAGAATGAGAGGCGTGAGGGAGGCTGCTGGGGATGTTGTGGTTATACTTGACAGTCACATGGAGGTAAGATTTAAATTACATGATCCTGGATAATGCTTGTTTCAGGCGTACTTTTATTTGCTCATTCAATGCTTGGTTGTCTTTCCTTTCTAATTTCATATTCTAGTATAGCACAGTTAAGTTGTGCCCTTTTATTAGCCCCCACTTCATCAGGTTAATGATGTGTGGTTGGAACCTCTACTAAGTGTCATCACAACCCGCCCCAAATCAATTGTCGCCCCAATGTTACACATGATACAGGAGACTCAATATGAGGAGTATGGTGATCTGTTACCTAGCCCTTACGGAGTACAGCCTCAGAAAGGTGTGGGTATCATTAGTATGTATCCATATTCCGGGGATAGTGACCCAGATCGCAACAGATGGGACCCGTTCCCTTCTCCTGCAGTCATGGGAGGGGGTCTGGCTGCTTTCAAGTCTACTTTGTTAGAGTACTATCCCGGTAGTATCCAGGGTAAATCGTGGGGAGTTGAAAACACGAGGCTGTCTTACAGGATATGGATGTGTGCTGAAGGTGCATGGGTAGCTCCATGTAGTCAGGTGCGTGGGATTTGTTTTGTTTGAGGGCAAATTGGTTTTACAATTTGTTCTTTGTAGGTTGTATTTCAATCTACTTAGCTTTCCGCCTTTCCTGTTTGTTATTGAATGTTTTAAGCTCTGGTTTCCATGAGATGAGATTAGGTTAATAAGTGAAGACTACTGATGTGATAAAGCACTATAACTCAGTGTTCTATTGCTGTTTATTCTATTACTATTAATAAGTATATAATTAATTTAACTAATAACCTCAGGTACTTCACCCTAACAGTTTTGACTGGAACCTGAACCGGTACTTCCATAACAAATCACAGGACTTATTTCCCAAGCTCGTCTACGAAAGTGCTGCTGAACTGATGAACTTTTCTGAACTTGACATAGAAAAAGAGAAGATAATCAGCAAGCTAACGTCTGATGAACAATACCAGAAGTTGATGTGGGATATGTCAGATGAGATAAGATCAGGGTTTAACCCCGATAAACACAAATGTAGGAACTATGAGTGGTATAAGAAGGAAATTATGGTTGATTATGTTTCCTGGGAGGCTGATCAGTTTGATTTTGTTGGAGAGGTAAAGTCAGTGTACGACAACAAACTATGTCTAGAACATGACAATGATAGGGTAGTTATACTGTACCCTTGTAGAGTTAAAACTCCAGATGTAGGCGATAACCATGTCCACGGTTTCACTAAGAATCATAACGTTAGAAACGGTTACAGGGATGGTCTATGTTGGGATACTGCAGGATCGAGCGAAGAGAAGGGTGTCATCAAGATGTTCCAATGTCATGTAAAGTCAGCTTTTGAGGAGGAGGGCTTTGGCTCGCAGAAGATTATATATGACGAGACTTCGGCTCAGATAGTTCATCCTGATACAAAGAGGTGTTTGGAGTTAATCGATCATACGACTGTTTGGTTGATGAAGTGTGATAAATCTAAGCTTGAACAGCGCTGGGAAATAGATATAAGCCCCTGGTTCTAGAAAGTTCTAGAAATAAGGCACTTGTTTTTTTGATCCTTCATTTGTTGGAGGATAAGCAATTGAAATTCTCTCGATGATAATTTAGCCTGTTTATGCGTTCATCGGTGATTTGTTTTTCACTATAGTATTTAACTATTGATGATTTGATCACCGTGGATATTTTAATAATTCATTAGTATTTAATTTTAACTGTAGATGAAAATTTGCAAATAACATTAAATCACGTGTTTCATTTATATTTTTATAAGTATTGCCACCACAATTAATGACCTGTAAATCCCAAAAATCTGGAAGTGGTCTTTTTCAAAGTTTTCAAATGTAAAACGGAAAATGAAATTATTGCTATCTTACGATTGTTGGGAATTGTTCTCATTCTTGCGCCAACTTTTAATATTAATTCTCCTTCTCTACCCTTAATTATTCTTCTCCTCGTTGTATAATAACTTAAACTAATAAAATGGAAGCTCGTGATACCAAATTTAATGACAAACGTGTTTATTATTAATGGTAGAGAGGCTCCAGGAGAAGGAGTTAAATACCCCATGAGTGAGAATCAGAGCTATTTCTAAGAGAGATCTAAATGGTTGCCATGGTATCGCATGCTCCCTCATGGAGTTCAAATTACCCACAATCTAAATTAGCCTGTAAACATCTTAATAACATGTCTGTCTCGAATAACTGAAATCATTCAGTAAATGTTTATCTTTTCATAAAACACCTGATCGTGGAAAACAAACGTGACCGCCAAGTTTAAAACATGCAGCTTCGCCGAGAATGTATCTGGAATCTAGATGTGCCCTCTGTTCACATTTACTTCAGTATTTATCCCCAAATTCGATCAAAAGTTTCAACTGTGTTGCAACTCACTGTGTTACAACTCACTACCATGAACCACAGTCCACACATTTGGTGGCCGTTTCACATTCACATTACTACAGACTATAACATCACAGGACACACAGTAAGAACCAAGCGAGTATTCCCTATTTTAAACCATGATCTCACGTCACATTATTACAGGAAGCGATCTGCACTGGTCCGAGTGTAATCCTGAGCTCGGAAGAAACCCAGACACCTCGCGTCTCTCAGTGTGGAGTGGGAGTTCAGACGTTACCAGGGAAACGGGCCATTACCCGTACTACTCACACCCAGACTTGGGACTCACCCCAGATCCATACAGGAAACAAAGGAAATACTGGTGATCACCTCACCTCGCAAGTTAAGAAGGTTAGATTTATTTTTTATTTATTGATTTAATAAATCGTATAATTATATATTTTAAGTCAGTCACGTGATGTTTCTTCTCGTTTGTAGAAACTTTGAATTTTGAAATTTACTGAGACTCGGTTTACTCTAGTTTGAATTACATTGTGATTATGAAGATTACTGAGAGATGAACTTAATTCATACTACCTGACTGTAAATATGTGATCGAGTAGGTGTGAATATTCACAGATATTGTTCTAAATTAAAAATTTGAAATTTGAGGACTCTGTCATAATTTACAAACTCATGATAAAATTCCTTTAATTCACGAAACAAGACCCCTCCGTGCGGACCAAACCCAGTGGCGTTACGTTGCCTGTTTGCGTCCCCCTGTTGGCGCACCCTCCCCTTTTGGCGCCCCTCCCTAAAATTGAACAAATTAGATTATTTTAGAGGATACGCCGATAAATCTCTAAAAAAGTGTGTTTCTAGAGCAAAACGCGCAGTTTTGCTAGTACACTGTAGTCTGTAGGTAAGTTTTTCCAAATTGTCCCACATTCAAACGACGATTTGGCGCCCCCCCCCCCTCTTAAGATGGCGCCCCTCACACAGCGGCCCGGAGTCGGCGGGGCCCTTCGTTACGCCACTGACCAAACCCTCGGATTATCATTTACTGCTGCTCATTTCTCCTGCTGTACTGGATTTAATTCGCATAACTAAACGATATTGTGATCTACTTAAGTAAGATTTACATGACATGTTGACGTACTGTTCCGCAGACAACTGCTCTATTGTTTGTCTGGTAATCATTCCGTACACGGTACAGACAGTACGGTGTTCGCTGTGGCACTAATAATGTCGTAACACAAACATGCTATAGTGCACAAACATGCTATTGTGCAGTCTGATGGAATTGCAAACAAATTGAATTTTCTTTTCAGACTGTAACCGAGTAAAGTACCCATTTTGTGAAGGGTTGATTCTTGAATCTTAATAGATTTTATACTAACCTTGTCTGAATCAAGACAGAATTAAGATAAGTTAAAAATGCACACAGAATGTGCCCCCCCCCCCCACCCCCGCAACATCTCGGTTAGATTAAATGACTTGTAAACAATGCAACTAGCAATATTATAATCAACTTTGGGTCTCTGAGTACAGCTAAATGAGAATATCGTAGATATCTTATTATCTTCGAGATATTCAATATAATCTCTTAGATATCTACGAGATATTCAATATCTCATAGCCACCTCCATTATGCCCTGATCGTCGGAGAAGATTGCTGCATTGTTTCAGAGCTTGTCAGGTGGGACCACGTCTAGCTGCTAACTGAACTTAGTGTAGTATGCGCATAATACACTGTGTGGTGGTATATATTAGCACTATGTTGGGGTGTGTATTGAGGGGGTTGTTGCTCCAGGAAGCTAATAGTGACGGGTACCTTTTCTACTAGTGTACAATGTGTGTGAGGTGGCACAGTGTGCAGAGCAAATACAAGTGTGTGCGTGCATGTTCTTTTCTGATATCTTATCACAGGGCAAACTTCATGTATGGTCATTGGTTTAGGATCAAGGATAGCCATAAATAAAACTCCGAGCATAACCGGAAAACAAAACGAAAATACTGCGCGGTCTTAGCTGTTCGGTGAAACTCAGATCAGTTTTCTATCTGCCACTCATTATTTGTGACTAGCTGGTTTGATTCGAAAATATTATTATGATCCGCCGTGATTTTCTGAGTATTGAAAGAGTTCATCTGATTGAACGGTTTTCTGGGAAAAGGTGTCGAGAAACACTGGATTTGATTCAATGATTTTAATAAATGATATTCTTACACAATATCTATCAAAGTTGAAAGTAGTGAATTTTCGTTTCTAGTGATTTAACATGCAGAGGACACCGTTCATTTATCAATTCAAATGGATAAAAATAAATACAAAATTAAGATTTAATAAAAACAAAAAATAAAATATCACAGTTGAACTCCTCAAAGCTCTAAAGATCAGAACACTGCTGACCCGCCTCAATAACCCTTCTCTGCCTCACAGCACACATCTCCTGGACATTACCCCGCACCTCGCACGTCTCCCCGGATCCTATACTAAACACAGTCTCTCTAACCTTACTAAACATCTGCCTCACAGCTCTCATCACAGAGACATTATCATACAACAAGGGGTTTATTATAGAGTTAAGTGGGAGGATGATTATGGAGGATAGCGCGTACCACTCTGTTGCGTCCATGACGCGTGTGTAGTGAAGCGCGCAGAGGATGATAAAGGGAATCCAACAGATGGTGTCGGTTGTTATCATGATTGTTATCTTTCTGTTCAAGACTGTGTTTCTAACATTTGATTTCCGTCTTGTTCCCTGGTTCAACCGTTTAGCCGATATGTGTGTTACAATGCTGATGTAGAGGTAACACGAGATAATGATGATAAAGCAGACCGAGTTGTTAGCTACAATCGCTAAACTAAAGAACTTCTGAGGGTCATCCTCTCTGACAAAGTATTTAAACAAGCAGACCCCATCATTACCGTAGAAGTTGAGTCTCTGTCCGGTGATGTGACCCCTGTGAGAGGAGAACATGTCTGCTACCAGCCTCCGGATCATCCTCCAGGACAAGGTCCCTGTTTTGTGGGAAGTCTCGTAGTACTTGTCTATAATGTCGATATGCTGCTGTTTGTTGGGTGCCCCAATAAACATGGGGTTGTTTGTGTAAGTGAGGCCGTTCACAAAGATATCCTCGAATTGGGGGAGTACGGGGACGACAGCTAAACCCACTGAAACTACAATAACTGTGATGGATACTCCTGCTAATAGCAGACGAGACTTCAGTGTTATATTGCCCCCAATTGAAGGGTTTTGTACACAGACAACCCTGAAAGCACTGAGGAATGTCATTGAGTAAAGAGACAGCAAGGATGAGAAAGTGCTGACAATACCAAGGATTACACAGGAGTCTCCAGTTAACCAGTGGAACCTGTCTTTACAATATGATCGGTTATCTAGAGCCGAGTACCTCTTGTAGATTGTGTCCACGTGTGATATCCAGATTAGATACACACCAAGACCTAGATCACCCACTGCAATCAGGAAAATTAAAATCAAGTTTACAACTTTGATACATGATTTGGTTTTAAACAGTTCGAATATTGATCTTGTGATTGCTAGAGTGTTGAGAATAACAGCTAATATCCCAATAATCCAAGCATAAACCGACATAAAACCTCCCTTGATGATTTGAGTTGAGCAGCGGTCGTTACACTCGTCTGATAGATCCTCACAGTTAAACTTACCGTCACAGTAACTAGACACAGGAATGTAAGTACGTGAGGAGTTACACTTGTAGCTGTTAGCACACACACCCTCATCAGCCCCATCCGGACAATCCTCCGCAAGATCACATACCTTATCGTACCGGATACAGTGCCCATCAGGACACACAAACATGTCAGGAATGTGGTATATTGACTCCTCTTTCTTCTCTACAAATGTCAGATAAGGTGGTCTCTGAGGGGGTGATGCTACTGTGAAGGTCCTGTTTGGGTAGATATCTTTACAGGAGTTGTGAGGTACGGGAGTAAGAGGACATGATATAGAGGTGTCAGAACAGTGACCACTACACGCTGTATACACGTATAGTCCACCATACAGCGCGGTACAGTCCAGTGGCTTGTTAGGATGTACCAGATGTATCGAAGACTCTCCAAATATCACATCAGGATGATGATATTCACTCCCAGAACAGGCATTATCCTTACTGAAGTGTATCCCTGGCAGACAGTGACCTATCCTGATATCATCAGTATCCCACGTGACTTTAGACCACACCTCCACCTGATCACGTGATACCTCACACACCTCGTTCTCGTTCCCACAAGAGTTAATCCTGTCACAGAGATACGCCAGAGGTATCTTATCAGTGTTATCAGGCCCGCAGTTGTAGTAATCTAAACAATCCACACCCTCCTCCGTGTAACTATCCTCATCACAACTCTTCCAGTTCTCCAGTTCCTCATCACTGTTATCAACACAGTCCTGTAAACCATCCCCTATCCAGTATACAGGGAACTTCAAACTCTCCCCCCTCCTGGAAGGGAACCTTCTGACACAGGTCCTGTTCACGGTAAGCGAGCACGTATCCAGGGACTCGTCTCTACCATGCGCGCAATCCCTCACGTTGTCGCACAGTTTGTGTCTGTGTACAACACAGCCTCCTCCTAGATCTACACAACTGCTTTCTATCCCGTCATCACAGATAGGGTACCCCGCGCAGATCACATGGTTTGACAGGGTTGTTGGGTACCCGCGCACTGCGCATGTCAGCGCCTGATCATGTGTACAGTTCAGATAGTTACTGTACCCATCCCAACATAGCTGTCTGTACTCCAGTGTACCAGATCCCTGCTGTGTCATGGTTACAGAACATTTGTTCCTGTCATTGAGACCTCTGATTAGCTGACCTTTTTGGGTGTCATAGTGACTGAGGCATGTTTCATAGTACACTGGGTTCTCTTCACAGTAACTGAAATCTTCAAAATTATTACAGTCTTTCACATCGTCACAAAGCTGATGGTATGCTAAAAGTTTAGTAAAATTCCGTAAAGTAGGAGGATTAGTCCAAACTTTGATGGTAACATTGCAGGTAAATCCACAGTTATCCTCGTCCATCCCATTCTCACAGTCTCTTTCCCCGTTACAGATCCTACTGGGATGTAGATAAGAGAACCTGTCAGAGCCTGGCCACAGTTCTGTGACACAGTACAGTCCTGTCACGTGATCTGAACAGTTGGACTCGTCCCTACAGTTCCCACAGTCACAGATCCCATCACACACCTTGTCAGATCTGATCTTATCTGGCTCAAACTGATCTAATACCGTATCTTTATCACAGTGGTTATTAAGTTTATCATCACATTTACGAGATGTAGTAGGTACGGTAGTGTTGTCGCAGACGTACATTTCCAAGTCAATACCTTCACAAAACATCTCATCAACTTTAGTGTTCAAACAGTC